GATCGTGTAGCGCAAGAGAGGGCTGATGAGGTGGTTGGGGAAGATAAGCCAGAGCCGGGTCCGGATTTCCGTCCGCACCAAACTCAGGCTGCTCTTCGCCAGTTTTGGTTTTCTGGAAAACAAATCGACGCTCCCGCCGGACTTTCGAGCGAGACATCCAGTCCGCCAGAGCATCGACATACCCCGTCCATGTTCTCATGGACTCCATATCCTCCACGTGCGGGAGACTGTCCAGCCAGACCCAAACCCGCTCGATTTTCGTCGAGACCTGTACCAACCCCTGCTCGGGCACGACCCGGACGGGCTCCGGAACCTGCGGGGGTTCTACTCGAGTAGGTAGCGCAGCAGGGGCTTCAGGGGGCACTTTGACTGTCACATCCCGAGGTGTGTTGTATTTGGCCAACCAAGAAGTCAGTAGGTCCCAAACTTCAGCATCGATATCTACGCCCGGATACGGATCACCGTTCGCATACGCCTCCCAGTGAGCCTTTCGTTTGGAGATGTAGGTTTGGATCCGGCGGCGGCATGACTGCCAGGAATAGCGGCGGCCAGTTTGCAATTCAAGTTTGTTGGAGATCTTAATCCAGAAAGATTTCGGATGGTTATGCGCATCATCATCGTTCATGGCAGCCGCACACAGATTGACCAGGCATACTTGCTCGGGGACGCTGAGCTGTCTCCCGCGGCCGGCGAAAGGAAGGGACTCTATCGGGGTAGATTGATCCAACGAGGCCGAAGGCTGGTGAATGGCAATAAGGGCTGCTTTGGAGGCAGACGGGGAGGGGTTGTTCGGAGATTGTGGTGTGCTACCCCATTGATCATGATCGGGCCGCATGGGGTTGGGAGTGAAAAGGGTGGTGGTAGCAGGATGGTTCATGGCTCAACGGGCGGCGGGGTTGGGGGGTTGCCGGATCCTCGTGGAAACGAGCGAACGAAGAAGTCCAGCAGCGCCCAAAGAGACCTCTTGTAGAAAGGGGAAGGAGAAGGAGATGGAGGAGGGGGGGATGGAGAGGAGAAGATATAGAAGGGAGAGAGTGAAGATAAAAAGTGAGCGGGCGAAAAAAGAGGCAAAAACCGAAAAAGGGAACCGGAAGGAGGAAGAGCGAAGGCAAAATGATTAAGGCGACGCCCGCACCGCGTCCGCGTCAGCCCACGTGATCGGCAGTTGGGTACAAACGATTCCCTGATCCATCGCATGATGCCGGTTGGGTTTTATCCCCTGGAACCCACCTTTTCTTCTTGAATCAGTCGAGAGGAAGCAGTCCGGGTTTTAATGCTTCTATACAGGCAATTGCACAAGATGCAATTCTTGCTCCCGACAAAAAAGATGGGGATAATCACGCATAAAAAAGGAGAAGCACCAAAATGGTTAAAGCCGACGGAGTACTTTGGTCGGCTCCGCGTATCATATTACCGCATCGGGAGATCGCCTCGTGATCTGCTCTTGATGTCCATCTTGGGAATGGAAAAAGTAAAAAAAGGAAAAATCAAAATGGAAATTAAAAAAAGGCAAGTTTCAAATGGCATCTCATCCCCTCTCCTCCTTCACCTTTCACACTTTCCCATCTGCTGTACACTTTAACCTCGGCTTGTCTCACTCTCTAACCAACTACATAGTGTCTCTCCACACTGATGTCCCTCGGAAGAGTTACCCGCCCGTTCCCGCTCGACGGATCCGTTCAGCCGACGCGCTCCCCCATGCATTCTTTCCACTCATCGTGTTGGGAGCTATGAGCTATGAGCTATGCTAGGCTGCCCTGGATTGCTTCGGCTTCGGCGGGCAGATCCTTTTTTCGCTACCCTCTTGCTATGGACAAACTAGTGCTTAGTGCCCGGGAGATTAATTATTGAGGTTCAGACTTCAGCCGATGATCTTCGTTAGTGCGTTGCGCGAACCCATGGCTGCCTCTCCGCCATGGGCCGTGATTTGTCAAATCCGCGTGCGTTTAAGGTGGTACATCTGGGACATGTGAACCTACCGTGAGTGCTTCGTCCATGTCATTCGGCCCTGTGGGGTAATCCAGACTCTTCTGATCCCTTACGTGGAACAACGTTCAGGTCAAAAAGGGTCTCCCACCCCTCGTGCCTGTCCTCGCAAGCCAAGCATTGAAATTCTCCCCAAATCCCCTATCCCCTTTATCACTCTCCGACCAAACAATCCCTCTCTCTCTCTCCACATATATACTACTTGACGGCTATACGTGCACCCGAGCAAGGATGTCATCACGAGCCCGACCCAACCTGCTGGATGTGGTCTCCTCTTTGTCCTCCGTCCCGGGGACACGGAACCAATATGCCGTGAAGATTACACGGGACTGGTGTACCCAACAGTATGTCTGTTTGACCGCCGCATCCTTGCTTCATCACTCGACGGGTTGAGTTGACCAGAGCAGCTCTGTCCTTGGGGGTTTTTCCACTGCGCTTATGCTGGCCGCCGGTCAAAGGTTCCTTGACCAGGAACTTGGCGTAGGCCGGTATCCTGACCCCGTTCATGCGTTCGTCCAGTTTCTACACATGGTTCACCCTGGCCCGTCAATTATTACATGCACGCTTCTACGAGTGTCCAAGAAACAATCCGTCCTACAAGTTGAACTAGCGCGTGCCTCTAAGCCGGGAGAGGACTCAGACTCCTATCCAACTACTACTCTCGGTATCTTCACATACGGCGATATTAGCAAAGAAAATGGCCTGTCACAGGAAACGCGGCCGGTCATCACTCGGCCACCCCCCGACCGGCTCACTGAATGCGTTACTATCGACGACCCCGTCGTCAGCTCAACTCCTGTGACCGCGAAGATGAACTGGGTCGCCCCACGATCTCCACAGGGACTCTGGGGCCACCGCCTCGGCGGCCACAACCGCGAGGTCTGGCTGTCCTTCCGCGACGGCTCCAAACTATCTGACGTGTTACATCTGGCGTATCTTTCAGACCTGGTAAGTCGCGGTTCTTCCCAACTTACTTCTGCTTGTGCTAATACGCCGCGTGCGGTAAGCCCCTGCAGCCACCAGCGACCCATATTCCGGATTTCTACGCTAAATATGCGATCTCCACCCTGTGTCTGTCGATCGAGTTCAAAAGACGGCCCGACCCGTCCACCGACTGGGTCATGGTCCGCTCCAACTCCAACAAGGTTTCCAATGGCCGGTATGATGCTGCTTTGCAACTATTAGATGAGAGGGGCAATCTTCTCGCCTTGAGCAATCACGTTGTGTTTACCTCAGACTTGAAGCCCCGGCCGGCTCGGCTGTAAGTGTGGGGCCGTGGGTCTTTTGATTTCGAGCTTAGCGTCAAGTCATTTCTCACTGCAGTATGTGATAATAAATTCAAAAGCGAGGTGTTTTGTTCACGGAGTGAGTGGATAGACATTGATTCTGTAGTTAGTTAATCCGTATTTGGAGGTGATTAGCATAAAGCGTTGGTTCCTGGCCCTGTTCTCCGTGGCCAGGGCATTCTCAATAGATTCGTTTATGCTATCTACAAACTAGCCTGAGGGAGCACACACTTTTATGTCATTTTCATTTCTTTCCTTCTCTTTCATTCAAACAATTCTAGAGCATCAGATCGATACGAATTTGACCGGCGGCTTGTTTCGTCCAGGCACATCCATCCCCAGTTCTGCTTAGTAACGTAATCCGTACATACTAGGAGGCTATCACTACATTATACAAATATTAGTATCATATGTATATATTTACCTGTAGATGCGATAAATGACCAGACAAACTACTATAGTCCATGGACTATAGTGGGGTAGGGAGTAGTTTGTCTAACTTTAGGCGCACCAACAATATATATGAAGTTGGGTAGTAAGAATGTGTGAGGAGCGACTGAACAGAATGGACATTGGATATTACCCACGTGCATTGAAGGACTATAGGTCAGGCACGGTAGTCAACTGAGGGAGTATATTGTAATAGTATCAGTAGAAAAGAAGTAGAAAAGAGTATAGAAAATGCCTTGCCATGAAAAAAAAAAAAAAAATTCTTGAACCGAAACCAAAGAAAACTAAATGGATTATGCAAACGCAAATGTGAGTAGACTTCTTCCAGAAACAATATGAGGATATACTATTCTAACCCCAGTTATCATGCAACTGCTCCCCATGGATCGTCCATGTCATAACTCGAGCTACTGCCATGAGTGAAGCCACCTATACCGGATAGACCGAGACTGGTGCCGTTGTTGCTTCTACTGCTGCTGAAGGCGTTAGAGGCTGGAGTAGGATTTGTATCTTTAACAGGCGAATCGTCGAAGTCCAGGAAACGACTCTGTTCGCGCTCTCTTTTGACATTCATGCCATTCCCATTGTTGAAGCTGTAGCTGCTATACGAAGGAAAGACAGATATGGAGTCATAAATGTCCTCGACCTTACTCGCCGTATGTGCCGGAGGCGAAGGAGGTACTTCAATAATCTCGACATCGCTTCCGTCAGAAGCAGGACCTGCTGTTGTCGAGACTTGTGCAGACCTAGACTCCGCTTTGACAGTAGGCTTAATATCGGTCTCCTCATCAGCGAGCATGTCATCTTCAAGAGAGATCGCATCCATGATAGACTGCCCTGCTTTGCTTGAACCGGCTCCGCTACGGGTTGGCGTTATCAAGTTGGCGGGTGTTCTGGGAGCGGGTCTCCTTCGGGACGAGGAAGAAGTGACAGGCTTCTGGATTCCGTTGCGGCCCACACGGGGTGTTCGTGGTGCAGGAGAGGCAATGCTGCCGGTAGTAGATTTTCGTCCTTTTGCACTAGGGACGTCCGTTATTCCTCGCTCAAAGGCCTCTTGTCTGAGTTGCTCAGCAAGAGCGTGACATCGCCGCAGACGATTCTGAATTGCATCGTACGTTGCTTCTTGACCGAAGTAGGTGGCTATGGCGTGGTAATCTAGCTGGGTGGTGTGTTAGTGGGATACAGTAGTTAGGATGGAGGTATCGTACCTTTAGGCTTGGATGGGCTACTATGAGAGCTGCAAAGAGACGGTCGGCCGACTCGGGCTGTTTCCAATTAACCATTGTGTTTTCTTTGATGCTTTGCGTGAAGACTTCGATTGCAAATATTCTATCCAGAGATGAACATGTACAAGATGATTTAGAATTAGACTTTTAGTGCGAAGCAAAAGAGGACTTAGCAAAACGATGCTGGAGATTGTGTTGAAGTAACACACACATTGAGTCTCCAGACGTTCAGTGAATGTCAAGGCATGATGGCCCGCCTCTTTTGGGACCACAGCAATGGCAGTCAGTCAAACAGGCGACTGAGCGACAGGTCAGAAATCTGGCTTGCGGACTACACAGACTCTGAGAATTAGTGACTTGACTTTTATTGAGCTGACAGGCTATATTCCACAGATTCAAGAGAAGGGAGAAGTACCTCTCCGTCATTTTCTGTGGAAGACTGTGGAGCATTCCACAAGAATCTGTGGACAGAAGAGGGAAATGACTTTGGTCCGGCTGAGAAGGAATCTGTTCGCTGCCCACGGAGTTGATGTGTAGATTCCACAAGAGGGGAAGGGAAGCCAACTGGCTACACTAAATCCCCACTACAGCACCAGATCGGATCAGTCATTTGGAACAGTCGATAGAACAGATTTTGCTCTGAAACAAATCTGCATCTGATCCACAGCCGGGTTTTCGGGGAAGTATCCATGCCGTATCCGCTGCAGCCAGAGAAAAAGCCAAGTGGGTAAGCACATGCAGGAACATCCACCCCGATGACAGGGATCGTCTGTCCAGACTGACAGGAGATCTGCATCACCGGTTCTAGCATACATACAGGATTCTTCGCGAATTCAAGTGCGTAGCATACACCAGATAGAACCCGACACCTACCGATGCTGAAGATACCATAGACATCTCTGCAGTAAACAGCAAGTAACATATTCATGATCAGGTTCTTGGGCGACGTCGCTTCGGGATCGTTAGTGACTGTAGGAACAGCAGCTATTCACTATAGAGCAGTGAACACAGGAAGAAATGTATTTTCACATACTCTGAGCTGCTTTCTACCCCTTCCATTTCTTGTAGACTGTTCTTGTCTCTTGTCAAGTTTCCTTCCTTCTCTTGACCTTCCTCTTTCTTCTATACTCATTCTGTTTCTGCGAATAAGTCTCTCTACTACAACACCTTCTCTATTCTACTTTTGCAAGAAACATCGCAGCTTCTCTGTACATGCTTCGAACCTTATCTGCACGAGGAAGAAGCAACCATGAAGTGGACTCCTGAGAAAGATCAACTGGTATGTCTCTTCCTACACAACACCACCGCGTATCTACACTGCGTGCACTTTTACACGCTGCGCACGCAGCCTATATGATCTACATAACCTACACCATCTATACTATTTTCAACTACCTACTCAACACACCAAACCCTCCCCAAACCCAACCTAACACTACACCCCCCACCATCCTCCCCACCCTACCTACCTACCTACCAACAACAACAACAACTACTACACAACTAACCCACAAACCCAGCTCCTCCTCAAAATCCTCGAAACCCACTCCCTCTCCGTCGACGCCAAACGCGTAGCCGAAGCATGGCGTAAGTCCCCCCCTCCACCCCTCAGCTACCCACAATATCTTCCTACCAAGCAAGCAAGCACAAATTAACATCAATAAACCAGCTAAATCCCTCGGCCCGGATATGCCCACCCCCCGCGCTATCTCCGAGCGCCTCGTTCGCATGCGAAACACTGCCCGGGAGTCCGGCGGCGAAAACGGCCACTTCTCCATCGGAAAGGGGCTCAAGAACGGCAGTCCAATGGCCAAATCAACCACCAATGTCGCCTCCAGCCCTGCTTCTGTCTCTATACCTCAGACGCTGCGCATCAGTAATGCCAGGAAGGGGTTTTCTATGAAGAGAAAGCGCGATGACGATGATGAGCTTGATGAGGATAGAGAAGAGGGGGAGTATACGCCTACCCCTATCAAGGTGAAGAGTGATGGTGGTAGTGATACTGAGATTGAGATTGGGTTGGAGACGCCTAGCAAGACCGTGAAGGGGAAGGGTGTGAGCATGAGGTCCACTGCTCAGCTGAAGAAGGAGGTGATTGATTTGGAAAGCGAGGCGGATGTGGCCCCCGTGAAGCGTGTCCGGAAGGCCAGTTCGCTTGCGCCTGGAATGGTGGAGTGGAAGGATGAAGAGGATGACGGGGAGGGGGAGAGCTCGGCGAGTGAGTATGTGCCGAAGGGGGAGGGAGAGGGGGCGGGAGTTGATAGTGGTGAAGAGTTTGATGATGGTGATTTGTACGATGCTTAGTCTTTTCCTAGGTTGTTGATGATGATATGATCTGATGTGTGGATGGGCGGCGGGAATAGGTTGATTATGGTGTTGCAGTGATTTTGCTTTCCATATCATGTACTTTAAGCACCCTAATACCCAATACGAGGTGAAATTTGTGAATGAAAAGCTCATCTCCATTGCAATAGACCGGATACGACTTATCCTAAGGTAGAAACACCACCCGAACTCAACGCCCTTTCCATCCCAAGCAACCAGCATTTAGCAAAAGTAAAAGAAAACAAATAACCACGATCCATAAAACGAGCAAGTTACCTAACCATCAACTCCCAAACCAACCAACCCATGCAACTGACTACAACCCGTTAATAAAAAGAAGAGAGCCACAAGTAAGGGAAAAGAACACCACCATCAAGATTCATCCTCACCCTTCACAACAGGACTCTCCTCGACCCCCTCACCACCAGCCTCAGGAATCTCAGGAACACCAGGTTCGGAAAGCTCATCATCACTAGAATCCTCCTTCTTAACAATCGCAGCAGCAGTAGCAGCCTTCTTAGCCCGCTTAGCCTTCGGCTTCTTAGCAGTCGAAGCAGCAGGAGCAGCCGCGGGAGTAGTACTAGCTTCACCACCCCCAGTAGCGGGGTTCTTACGGGGCCGACCACGCTTTCTCTTCTCAGGTGTAGCAGGGGTGGAATTGGTGGGAGTCTCATTGCCGGGAGACGTCATGGTAGTGGTAGTGCCCGGTGAAGAAGCGGTGCCGCCGGGAGTAGTGGAAGTGCTGCTGGTGGGGGCAACAGCGACTTTGTCCTTGAGGCGCTGGATACGGTGCTGGACGGCGGAGACGGTGCAGCCTGGATGGGTGTGTTAGTGTTGGTGTTTATTATGGATTGATGGGTGGATGGTTTGGGGGAAGACATACCGGGACCCATAAATTTGGCTAAGGCGTGCATATCGAGTTTCACGTTTGTAGTGGTCAAAATGCCGACCAGGAGCTGGGAGGGGATATGTTAGGTTGTGTTGGGCTGCATTTGGGGGAGAGGAGGGTGGAAGGGACGTACTCTGGCATCAGTGGTTTCGTTCCATGTCATGGGCATTTTGGTGGCTTGGATGCGGTAAACTTGAGATTTCTTGTGACGTGTGAAGGTGGTAGAGGAAGAGTAAAGAATTAGAGTATAGTAAGGGAAGGAACAGATAGAAAGCGATAAAGTAAGGTAGGGAAAGAATTTGTGGTTGAGGGAGCGAGAAGGAAGAAAGTGGAAAAGAAGAAGGAGGGGATGTAGAGAGCCAAGGAAGTGTTCTACTTCAGCAGGCTTGTGGGCTGAAGTGGGGGTGACTCAATTTGAGATTTTTATTCACTTGGACTATCACCGGTTTCAGGACTCATTTTCTACTCCTCGAGGCTGAATTGAATGTTTTTCGGTGTTTGTGGGAGATTGAGAATGCTATGCGTGGCTTTAGATTGTTGGGATGTCATTACTATGGATACTGGTTGAGCCATGACGCTGTGGTATCATCAAAACATAAGGAGAAATGAAAAGAGAACGGCACAGAAAAAATCAAGGTTCTCAGCTTGCCTTCTCGAAAATGAATTTGTTGTACTCCGCTGGATGATAGGATGAGAAATAGTCGTTATATCGTAGCTCCTCCCGGCTCTTCTGAGCCGTTTTCAAATTGTCAAACTGGCGGAAAAGTCGGCCAAGGGTCACATACAGCTCGCAGTACGCAAGCCTACAGAAGTCAGTACAGCTCAATTTCACATGTGAGGTGACATACGGCATCCCGATACATTGTCTAGACCCCTTGCCGAAAGAGAACAAGTACTTCTCGAGAGACTTGCTCATTACTGGATCAGTCCATCGGTTTGGGTCAAATGTTTCCGACTTGGGAAAAAGCTCTTCGTTATGATGCATTGTCCACGAGCTCATGCTAACAACAGTCTAGAAATATGTTAGCGAAGTTGACAATGATGGTGCCATGCTTGTTGCATACCCCAGGAGGAACATGATAGCCATTGAACTCAGCGCCGACGTCAGGGACGACTCGAGGAAGTCTACCAGGAACTCCACACGATAACCTGTATACAAGTGAGCGAATGTTACTTCTGGTTCCTTTGGAATAACATGGAATCACCTTAGAGCCTCCTTAATAACAGCGGTCTTTCAACGTTAGCTCATGGGTATCTCAATGGGAGTAATTCAGAAGCATACCAAGTATGGCAACCTCTCCAAAGCCACAAAGTCAATTTGCGCTTCTGAATCAGGGAACGCCTGCTTCAGCTCCTCCGTTAAGCGCTTATAGATTTTGGCATTTCGCACGACGTTGTAGGCAGCAATGGTCAACGCATTTCCGGTTGTGTCTGCGGCTGCAGCCAGCATGATATAGGCCTCATCTTCCAGCTCCTCCACCGTAGGCACCACATGACCTTCGGCAGCCTCTGGGTGAAGAAGCTGGTGAAAGATAGTTGTCCGGCTCCCTTTCTCACCCCGATCGACAGCGTCCTTCACTTTCAATATTTGGCGACGAGAACCCTAGAAGACGTCAGCCAGTGGAGACAAACCAGAGACGAATGACATACTTCACGATGCAGCACCATCCTCGTCAAGGGCTCACTTGTCAACTTAGCCAGCCAGAATGGCGTGCCAAGCGAAAGCCCCTGTATAGCCGGAAATTGTTGAAAAAACCAAAATGCCGGACCGAAACCTCGGATCATCTCAAAGAACTCAGCCCCGAAGTTCTTTTTACCGAGAAAGCCGTAACAATTCCCAAAGGCGTAGTCACTGATGACATCCACGGAGATAGCTCGAAAGGCATGATGCAGGTCAATACAGCCCGTCGAGCTGAAAGACTCCCTCATGCGCCTGACCAGCTTATCTGCCTTGTCCTGCACGATATCCTCCAGTTCAAGCACCTTTTTGCGCGAAAAGAAGGGGTTCAAGGCCGATCGCTTGACTCGATGTACGTCGGGGCTTGGTGCCGTAAAGGTGGCCTTGTGGGTGCCGAACGCGCCATAGAACTGAGGATCCTTGCCATACCGTGACCCTATGTAGTAGATCTTCTCGCAATTTTCAGGGTCGCTGAGGTGGATCTCGTCAGGTGTGATGCGGACAACGGAGCCTAGGCTGCTTAAATAACTGTTGCGCGAACAGGAGAGAATCAACCGTATCACATGACACAGTGAACATACCATATTGCTCATGCAGCTTCTGAACCTGGAGATAGAAGGATCCACCTTGCATATTATACCAAAAGGCATACAGATGCGTGGCCCGAGCCAGAAGTGGGCCCGGTAGATGGGCCAGGGGGTGGAAGAACAGTCGATACGCGATCGTCCAGACGCATCGCAGAAGGAGCACGATGGACAGGACAGACACCGTGAGTAATAATACATGGACTGAAATCATGGTGGGCAGACGGACTGAATCAAGCCTCGCATAGGACCCTGGAGGGAGAAAGGTGAACACCCCTGTCAGAGAGATCTTCCCAGTGCTTTAAATGGAAGATACCGGGGGATGAGTAACTCTATTACCCTTCGATGCCACGCGAGTCTTACCAAGCCTGAATAATGATGACAATCATCAGAGGGTCCTACCTCATACGGGAATGAACGAGCAGACCCCGCAAGGGGGGCTAGCCTGGATGGGAATGGGTGAGCAGTCAGTTGGGATAGAAAGACGAGCAAGACGGACTACTACGGAGTAGAAAGATGGCATCAAGTCATGCGCTGCTCAGGCCTCGGCAATAGACTTCTCTGTGGCAGGTCCCAGCATCCTCACTCGCCTCGGAATCCCTTCCGGTGCGAGAAATGGGCTCACTCCAGCACAGCATACGTTCAGCATACATGAGGTAGGGACAACAGGTCATACATCATCCTCCGGTTGCCTTCTGCAGTGCAGCCAGCAAAAAGCAATGGACCCAGTGGTCTGGTCCGAATTCCCGGCTGCAGGATTGCAGAATGTCCCGGAGAAAAGGGTCATTCTAGGCTCCTGGCGAGGGATTGACATTCTTCAGACCTGTCATGGGCTGAGCAATCCCAAGGTCCCATCTCGAATTGTCTGTGGGCTATTACACTCGGCCGTTACTGCTAACGGTCGTTTTTAGTTGGATTAGCGGCGTACGCGACCAGTGCGCGTGGTCCAAGTGGCCGGGCCTGACCCACGGCGAGCGATGACAATGACACCAGAGACAAGGGGGCGAAAAGACGAGAATGGTAAGAGAGGCATTCAGCATAATGAGAACGCAATAGTACGATGGAAACCGACCGGGCGGGTCGGAGGTCAATCCGCGTCCCGTTCTTTCTGCAGAAGTTCCCAATAGACGTGCCATGACTGGTCAATGGGTCCTATTTCCGGGTGGAGCTCGAATTTGATCCTGCTATTTTGCGGCCTTCCAGGAAGATCGTCGTCTGACCATCGCCAGGATGTCAATGCCCCTACGGTGTATGGTATGGTTGCAGGTTTGCAGAAAAGAGAGCACTGGTGGATGGGATGCACGAGGCGACCAGCCAGGCAGACTGTGGGAGAAACAAGGAAGGCCACCTAACTAAGACTGCTCTACTCGGGGAAATAATATCGTCATCATCAGACGATGGTTAGCATTTTCGTGCACCCAAGGGACTGTCCGGTAACCGTGCAGAACCATAAAATCATAATTGGGGTACAACTGCAATCATTGGATGTTCTCCAGCTACACCGGCTGCCGTCATCCCCGGTCGCCTCCACTATCCAAGCTCCCGACGGCCAATCGAACACGCGTGTAGCGCATCTTTAGCAGGACACTAGCCTCTCAAGTCCACATTAAACCCAAGCATTCCCGGCCGCCCCGACCTTTCATGACGGGGGACGTCGAGCCCCGATTGGCACACCTCTGCCAGGCTAGTCCTGTCTGCTTGCAGTAGTCGGCTGCGCAATGCATTTTGTCGGTTCTTATTCCGTCAGCCGTGCCGCAGTGCACTTCGTCCCCAAACTCTAATAGGCACTTGTAGGCTTTTGTCCATATACCCCGACCCTGTTATAACCCAGATGGGAACAATCCTAAGTTAGCTTCGTGCTCGTCCAGTCTAGAACGTTAAACACGACAGTGTCTTACACGTTGAAGTATGCGTGAGTGTTCGGATCACGGAGGCCTTTTCGCATCTGGGCGAGGAAGACCTGCACTTCGGCATAGCTCCACTAAATTCAGTAAGGATTGTCCTGTCAGCCCGTGTCCGACTGGCTGCTGCCAAGAGTGGGTGGTGCGCAACGCAGATACGAGGTATAACGCTCTCAGACACACACACACACCCAAAGAAGAAAGCATGCTTATGTCCTATACCATCGAATTGCAAATGGAGAAAAGGTGGACTTACCCCCATGACTCGGGTCAGCAGCGCCATGGCCCATCCCTCAATACCCTGCTCGCAATGAACCAGGTTCCACATGCCTAGTTTCTTCAGCTTCTTGTCTCGACTCCACTGGCCGACAGGCAACTTCATTCGGTGTTCCGTCACGTTGTGGAATCCAGCCTGCTGCATATAGCCCTTAGCAAGATCAGCTATGCGGAAGGTTTTGCCAAACTTCTCGCCCGCCTCAATGAAGGTCTTCGACCAGATTGCCAGAACATGATCGTCTGTCACCGTTCCATCATCCGATCGGAATTGTATAGACATCTCGAGTTGATCAAACCAGCCCCCAGGCCGCAAGCGACTAGAAAAGGGATTAGGGCCGGAACGTGCAACAAAGAATCTCATTGAGGGACTCACCTGAGAACGTTCTGATAGAATGCGGGCCAGTCCGCGATCGCGCCATACAGTGCACGAACGTGGATCAGATCGAAATGGTTCTCCGGATAGACCCAGTCTTCCGTCGCGTCGTCGATCTCAAACTGTAGGTTAGGTGGGACAAAACCAGGCTGTATGGGTGACAGATCGGTCCCAATGACTTGTGCTGAAGGATACTCGTCTGCGAAGTCGCTGTTCATAAGAAGTCAGATTGCTGAAATGTGCCCATCTTACACTTGCTTCTTACTCACATGGCCCAGATCCCAGTGCCAGTGCCGACATCCAGCGCTCTCTGTCAAGTTGGGACCTCAGCGTTGGCCACGATTGTAAATGTTGTAGTTGTGTTACAGTATACATACCTGTATATTGTCGCTGATCGGCGCGAGTAGTAGTTTACCATCGAGAAGCAAAGTAAACATATGATGACTGACACCAGCATTAGCCTGCGCATCAAGAGCGATTCCAGGGAGCATACGCAATATCTAGTTGCTCATTTTGCGTTTCGTCATTAGGTCCCCTGCAACTTGATTAGGGTAATGCGCACACCGAAGCCACTAGATGATATAGTCATACCAATAAGCCCCTTCTTTGTAGGCGTGGTAACGTCGTCCATTCTCAAATCGGTATGAAGTGATTTCAGAGTTCAAGGATGTTGTATCGCTCGCGCTAAGCGCTGTAAGCATGAGGGATTGATTGCGAGGGCGATTGATAAACTTACAAATCCTCTGCGTAGTCCGAGAATTCTTCTTCAGGCTCTGCCTCGTCCTGGTGAGACAAAGTCAGCCGACGCTTGGAGAAGGCGAAGGTCGGCAACCAGTGGTAAGCAGCGTACTGAGTCCGAAGATTCACCATCATGAGGCCCCGCGACGGGCGCAGCGCCCTGGGATACATTTTGTGGAGCCGAAGCCAAAGATGAGGTGGGCTGTGGGGGTTCATTAGCGGCAGCCCCTTGAGAATCGGGGGTGGAAAAGGATTCCGCCATGGGGTCGAATTTTCGGGAAGCTCGTAGCGAAGTTGAAGATCAAACAGCTGGGGAAAAGGATATCCTCTAAGGTTAAAATGGGGCAAACCCAAGCGAAAAGGTCGTGTGTATCGAGAGAGATGGATGACGTTCGATCGGGGCCGACTTTCTGATTCCTTCGCTGTCAGATTTGTTCCTTTTAAAAGAGAGGGGGGTTTCCCGCTTCCCGATTCGTGGCGAGCTGCAACTAGCTGAGGTGGTACTATTAGATTAGACTACCACTTTAAGGTATTGGGCTGCCTTCTCCCAGTTTTCCCCCTTGGAAGGAGTCGTCACTATAGTAGCTCAAGACTATTTTCTCCCTAGCAAAGCTGATCGTTCTTCGCCACTCGTATTTTGTTAGCGGGCATCGAATGCAGATTAAGCTGCGGATAGAACGAAAGACAGAGTTTCGAGCCTTCGCACGTTTTGACGTCTATCGAATCCACGCGTGGGTGGGGACTGAAATGTGGGCTGATCAAAGGACTTTTCGCAGTTTACTGGTGTAAGCCCAGATGCACGCGATTCAGGGAAATTCTCTGTACTTCCGGAAGTCCTCGGCGATGCATGAACAACGATGCAAAGGATCTCTCTTTCGCTTAGCTCATGGGTCAACCCCCACTTAATGTCCGTCAATCGACAACGTGTAAGCGTGTACAGACTACAGAGTGCTCCTGGAATCTCTTGTTCATAAAGTTACTCGTGCGCAGTTTCCCCTGTATAAAGATCGCATTATAAAAGTACCAGAACATCCCGCGACGTTGTCTCTTACTGGTCATTACAGTTACCTAGAAACCTGCCGGCTTTTTAGCCGCATAATCAGGTGTGTCACAAGTACCTGGGACGCCTATTGTTCTCCTCAATCATCGAATAGTACGATATAAATACAATCTCGAGTTTAAAGTGCGGTGCGAAAGCTTTTCTAGCACCCGGTATGGCCCGTGCATGCAGCCGGCACTTCCTTTCTTGCTTGGTTGGAAGTACCCAGATAACCCGTCAAGGACCAGAGTACTAGATTCCCAGTAAATGGTCATAAAGTCTCTTCAGTAGAAAGCGGCTTGTTAATCATACTAGATGCCGTACATGAGATCAAGAGGCGAAGATTGTGCGCCAGCTCGTACATCTTGATACATTCATAATATGATTTCCTTCCCATTTGTTCCTATCGTCTGCCCTTGCTATAACTATATGAGATGCTTTATGGCCTCTATCTGTATCTTGGCAATGCCGAGGTTGTATCCTTGCCACAAGTATCCGACATCCGATAATGTTATAATCGAACTTGTATCTGATAGGCCTGAGGACGGAGATGAGCGTCGATGAGGCAATTGACTAAATCACCGTGGAAGGTCTGGTCCGGTATGCAATGCAACAAGGCTCAGTGGATGTCCACACAAAAGTACCTTACTATTTTTTGCAGCAGAGACAGTATATCTTCCTCGAGAAGAGGGAAGGGGGGACGACATGAGACAAACAACGGCGGTTATCAGAGGTACTGAGGCTTTCGTGGGATGATAGCTAGGAAGCTGCGCCCGATATTCATGATGACGGGGATGGTTATTTCTAGCAATGATGAGCTGTTCCAGATCCTGTCTTACCAACGTCTGACTGGTATTTCTGTCAAAGCAACGGCGAAGTAAACCAATTAGTGTCAAAAAATTATTGGCGTATGCTTCTTCCAGTGTCTGCGTACTATTGAGAGTTGCTGTTCAGACATGATGGTGCTGTTCATTAAGGGATCCCGCAACGGCACTGTGCATATGATCGATCCTGTTTGCAGTGGGAAGCCTCACCCGCATCTTTGTTTACTTTCTTCTCCTCCGCTCCACCCCCTGAAATACTTCATGGACGCCAATGCTGCAAGAAACTTGAGCATACTTGTAATTATCCATTTCGAACTCTTCCTCACGATCACAATTGCCTAATGATCCAAATATGCGGTCCCGAATGTTTCTCGACGATGTGGCCTGGGAACAAGCCGAGGAAGTATCAGACAATTGGCTGCTCCAATTCCTCAATCATGACATCTTAAGACCGATCGGATATTTCATGCTTGATCAGAATTGAGGTAAGGGTACTAATTTAAGCATACTCGAGAAAAGCTCTTATAACATATCGCTGCGAATAGAGGATGAACATGTAGCTACCATCATTCGCCTATCGCAGCCCGGCGCTGCCTCTTTTTCTGGAAGAGTGTGTCACGAATGAGGTTGCTACCGTGCGATTTCTCGAGGACAAGACAACAATTCCTATACCATTTGTGTGTCACTCGGGAACAAAGAAATAGTGTCCCCTCGAACTGAGTCCTTCCATAATGATGGACCTTATTGAACATGAAATGGAAATGTATTACGCGCTTAATACTCCTGGATGTCCAATTGAAGAACTACGTAGAGTCTATGCGAAGCGAAACGGCCAATCATGTCAGGGGGATGAACAGTAAGTTACCACTCCATTTCCATGAGATACTTGGGAGTACTCGGATTAGCCCTTGTGTCCACGCACAACGCCCATAATATTAGCTGTGCAATATATGCTCCACTACTCCGTACATTCTGTCACATTTCCCACCTCAACCCTGGCAAGATGGCTTGGAGAAGGTTACCCGGAGGGGATGCAGCCGCTGACGTTGACAAATGCCAACAGGCCTGATTGTCCCCGCTTCATGGACAGACATGAAGTTGCCATGGCAGGATAAGAACAGGGATGTAGCAAACAAACTAGCTGCATGATGCTGTGCTTGACAATGGGGAGACAAGAAACCAAACGGAGCCTGACATGCAACACTTCGGCTTCCTGCATATGGATATCCGCGTCTCGGCTGGTAGTAGTAAGTCCGACGCTGCTATACCGTTATTGGTCTTTCACAATAGATGCAGTCGCAAGCATTCAAAGTAGCTTGCCATTGAGGATATCAGGTAACTTGCTAATATGGTAGGAATATACTTAGGTGGCTGACAGGAATGGAAGAACCGTGGTTGAGGGTGCGGAAGGGCGGGCCCGCTCGTTGGCCCGAACCTTGTTCTTGTTCTTACTATGCCGCAGGTTACATCAGCTTACTGGCGGCACTGATAAAGCAAGAGAGGTTGCTTGCTTCTTAGGATGGAGAGTTATATCCATTAGCAGAGTTGGACGATATGACAGCTTATAGAACATCTCCTTCAGCCCTCCCTACTGTATGTTAGATCTTCAAACTCGGGTGCTTCAAGATCTCAAGTTGTTAACGGGTTCTATCGTGATTGTGATGGCTCTGTCACTCGTATTCACCAGAAGCTCGGAAATATAGGTGGTAAATAATTAACTCCCGTGTAGGTTATGCTTGAAGACAAGATAATACTCATCACAAATGGAAGGTAAGAACCTTGGTAGCAGCCCTTGTAATGAAAGCCATGTCAAGTACGGAGTAGCATCCAGCCCATCCATTCATTGTCTGTTCCGAGTCATCCCATTGATGGCTGTGCGATGTTTGGAAGAAGCGACCGGGGAGGACAGAACCCGAATGCGATTGGGGAGTCTCTGGTCTGAAAACAAAAGCCGCACAGAAGAGGACACATCGACAACGGCCATTATTCATCTCTCACTCGGTCCAGATGCGTTAGCTCGCAGTCAGATATGCCGCTGAGCTATAAGCTAGTTAAGCTGCCAGCGGGACAAATGTAAGCCAACAGACACCGAAACCTCTGGTTTTGGCCTGGTCGCTTGCGAGATTCATGGCCTATGATACAGATCAAGATCGAATCCAGTGCTACCTTGCGCAAAGCAAAGTGGGCATTCCGATGCAAGGGAAGGCCAAGCAAACAATAAGGCCACGCAAGAGGGGTAATGTGTTCTTCCGCCGGGGCTACGGTGAAAGACATTTCGCCCCATAAACACCGCGCCAAGAGGATTCGCCAGGTCAAACAGTCTCCATAGCGGGGTTTTCCTGGGATAAGCCACACCACAGGTTTCGATCTGCTGATGGTAGAGCGTTGCCAGCCAACGGTCTCCCGTACACTCTTTTCCCGGAATTATTCTGCCTAAGGCACTCAGCCCTGTCAGGGGCATTTCTAACTTCTTGGCCAGCAAGACAAGAGATTCGAAACACAGCCACTCCGCCCGGAATCGCTCAGCCTAGAAAACGGGAATGTTGTCAATCAGCCTTATGTCATTATCTCGGCTCTGTCTCACTCGCCAAGGGATTATCCCGTGGGGCGTCGTTGCGCCCAGTGACTGTCAGCCCAACAGAAGCCCATGGATGCATCTGCGACCAGCCGGATCCAACAGCAGCCGCAAATGCTCATCGATGACAAGCATGTCGCCATTCCAGATTCAACGCACAGCGGGCCATGACATGCACCAAGCGCCAATACCAAGACTGCTGCCTAGGACGATAGGGAAACGGACGACTGACCATGGAGATGGAGCCCTGCCTGTGGCTGAGATGAAGGGGGAGGGACCCTTTCAGGGTCCACCGCTGACCTGTCTGCCAAGAAGCCTCATTGAGCACGCGGAGTGGGGGGATCACTGGCCCCAGAGACCACCATGAAACAATAATTGTCAATTCCTATGGAGCAATCAGCCACAATAGTGGGAATTCAGGCGCCTGTCTGGGGCTAGAAACGGTGAACCGTCAAATCACCGTTCATGGTGCTTCACTCCATACCGGGGTTGTTGCATTGCATTCCCCTATCCCAAGAAGCCCCCACGAAAATAGCCTACCTACTCTTACCAGGTTGTCGACAATCAATCAATGAATGCTCAAGCCACTGGCAAATGACCTGAGGCCAAGTGTATGATATCCATGCTCAGGATCTCTTGGTGACTGCGAAGAGCCGACTCCACTGAGGCATAACGAGGTATATAAACCCCCCCTTCATCCCCTCTTGCCCTCCATCAACAAACCCAACCACAACCACAAAGCAATCAATCTCATTATACAACCACTTTTCCTCCATTCCCTCATAACCTCTTTCACAACTCCATCACAATGAGCTTCTTCCGTACCGCCTCAGACATCCGCGTTGACGACGGCCACATCCTGGTCGCCAACGTCGCCAACGAGGAGGGAGAGATGGTCGAATCTACCCTCGATCTTAACTCGTGCATCGGAAACGAAGAGGGTATGTGATCCGTTAGCAAGCTACCAGAGCGTAGCCATCTTCTACTTAGATTATGGCCAAGCTAACCATCTACACCTAACAGGTCGCTTCCTGTGGGGCGGCAACGACTTCGCCGGCAGCGCCGAGGACATCAGCTTCGCCATTGAGGGAGAGGACAACGTCCCCGTTCTTAGAGCCAGACTCCAAAACTCCGAGGGCGAACTCTTTGATGCTGATGTTAACCTGGGCGAGCACGTCACCAACAACAATGGTACCCTGGAGTACCAGGAGGAGTCGCTGTTGTAAGGGCGGGGTGTATTATCGAGTGTATCATGACAGACAAGTAACCATGTCTTGATAAGTTTATGTGGAACTATATGAAATACCATTTCGTTTGAACAAGTAGCATGCTCCTATCCCAGATTAATCTCCTTAATTCTACCGCTTCGGTTGAACTTCGTCTAATGTTGTCAAGATTGCCAGCATAAGATACAAAATAGAGATGGTATTTTTAAAATTGCGAAACAGCCAACTCACAGTCCCTATGTCCACGCTATAGAATAAACTCCCCATTCCCGAAAATCAACCTTTTATCGATCCCGAACACCTTGACCAGATTACCCAGTGTGTATCATGTAAGATCAAAAGGGACAAACTAGATGAAGCACAAACACACGCCAGCGGGTCAAAAAAGTTAAGGCTACCACGCATGTCTCCCATCATTGACTTCCAGGTCATTCCCATTCCAGTCCTCATCGCCACTGAGCTCATCGTCGAGAAAATCCCCCTCATTGTATTGTGTCTCGGATGGACGCTGATTGTCAATGCGGACCATCACCACATCGCACATGCCTTGGATCATAGTCGATGGTATGTCGCTGATCTCCCGGGATTCTTGCCTCTCTGCCTTTTCGGTTTCATCATCACCGGTCTCGGAGAATTTCCTCAGAGCAAGACGCGCGCTCTTGCGTTTGGATGGTGTTGAAAGTCCGCTATGCTGGGTATCAGAATGTGTATGGGTCTCCTCTGCATGTGTATCACGACTCTGATGGGTTACGTCTGACTGTGGTACGGCGCGAGGAATGGAACGCAGACTTGGGTCCGGGGGTGGGCTTCGGCGCAGGAAAGTCTTCTCGAGCTTTCCGATCCATTTCTCGCGAAAGGACGCACGATCCCGCCAGCCGATCTTTAGGATTGCACTGATTACAAGTCGTCGCAAATTTCGCAGTTCAGATGCCGCATCGATGAGCGTCCCAAAGAAGACTTCGGCTGTCGTATCGTCCCATTTGCGCAACTGAATCAGCTCAATGTCTTGCAGCGTGGACGGCCAGGTTGGAACACCGGTTGACAGGTCTAGAAGAGTATGAAAGTGGGGTTCGACGTCATGATAACTCGAGGCATCATACATGGATATATCCATGCGGAACTTCTCGAGATTTTTGCAGGACTCTGCGAGATTCACAGCGAAGGCTAAGCTTAGATGGCGGTTATGTCTCAAATCTAAAATCTGAAGATCATGACCATGTGAGAAGAGAAATGGGCCAAGATTCATCGCAGTGACCGCGTCGCAGTTGTTAATGGTGAGCGAAGTAAGTCCCATCGGTAAGTTGGGTAAGAGGTACTCGTTTACAATGGAACATTGCACAAAGTCTAAGCGACGCAGCTCTGGGAGTTCTCGTAGGGTTGTCGCAAGAACCACTTCGTTTTCATCGGAGCCCAGCTCATCACCATCCGCATCCTCCGACGTTATGTGCAACAATCGAAGCTCCTGGAGTCTATGGAATGCGGGCTGCAAGTGTTTCTCTAGCATGATGGGCAGCAACTGTCTGGTCTCCATGAAGCGACTGTTCCACTCCCAACACCGCAGTTGTATTGAACTGGAGACTAATGATGTAAAGAGAGAGTCCGGGTATGTCCATCTTGACCGTGGGTTCAGCCAGGGGGAGCCGCCCAGGAAGTAATCTTCTTTATGATAGAGACGCAGCGTTTTGACCTGAGGGGTTCGTTCAATTAGCCTTGACAACTCAAAATAGCCCAGGGTCGGTCCGCTTTTGTAGAATAGAAGACTCTCGACGTCAACGTGCAGTTCTTTGACCTTGCTAACGTAGTTAGTGGAAAGAGAGTCCTGGGGCTTAGCCAACAGCTGTAGCAAGCCATGGGCCTTGGCTGCTGGCAAAAGAGGAGGGCTATGATAGAGCGCCGCCAGCGCAGGTTCATGAAACGCATGACACATCAAAGCAATATTCACGAGCCATTGGACAGAGCTATGCCTGTTCGCGGTCTTTTCATCCATTAGTGGGCTCGATGCGCAGGAAAATATGTCAAAGAGGATGTGGTATGGGAGAGTTTGCCATGGTGGAATAACCCCCGAAGTAACAATCGGCGTACTATCCTCCTCAACCTTTCTACGTTTTTTGAGCGGTCGGCCCAGCTCGATTCGTCTCCGACCCGTCCGCTTTTCCACTTTCTTTGTCTGGGAGCGTGTTTTCACGGTTCGATTACGCGGGGCTCGAGATGGCGCAGAACGACTGTTCGTCTCAGTATACGGATAAGTAAGATGCTCAGGGGCATCAATCGTAGGGACTACAGCTTCCGGCTCATCATTCGTTGCATCAAAGTCATCGTCAGTGGATTCCTCACGGTAGGATGTGGGCACACGAGCTGAGTTGCGGGGGCGCAATGAAAGCGACAAGCGCCTCGCTCGTTCCTCGTCCGACTGGGTATCCTCGTCATCACGACCTTCGGAGCTGCTTTCTTCATGGTAGGATTGGACTTGAGTGCGACTGGAACGGATGGGACGAGACGATCTCGATCGCGGAGCCATGGCGGCACGAGTGAATTGATGTAATAATACTAGGCGGTGTGGGAGAGCACTGGGAGTGGCAGACGGCACAGGAGCTGTTGCTGCTAGTGCGGCTGCTACTAAGCTCCAGGTGGTGTGAGGTAGACGAGATGCAAGGGAGAGGATCGCATTTCATCTGGAAAGAGCTCGACCTAAAATAAGAGGAGAGGAAGTGAGGAAGCCAGAAGAAAAAGGGAAACGAGAGAGAGAAGAGGAAGAAGAAATTGTAAAGAGGGATAGGTTGTTGTAGAAGGAGGAGGAAGAGGAGGCGAGTTACGGAGGAGTAGTAAGTAGGGAAAGGAAAGAATGATGTCGGCGTTCCAGGTCCATCGCAGCTTCCCAGTTGGGGAAGGCGGAAAGGCGGACAGGCGGGAGGCGGGAGGCATTATCGATAAGGGGGGAGTCGGGGGATTCACTACGCCTGAAGTAGACTAGCGGGGGAGACATGTGACGAGTGTGACGGGCGTGACAGGGCCAGGCATCAAGTTCCCCCGCCCTGAGGCCACAACACTAGACTATAACAGGCATCGCAGCGTAGGCCTGAAGTCCCGAAATAGAAACAAGTCAAGTCAGCTCCTCCCAATCGAGTTATCACCGGCTTTCTTTAAAGCGCCGCCGTCGGCCAGCCACCTTCTCCTCTTTTTCTCCTCCCCCTTCCATTTGGCGCCTGGCGACAATGCTCTGTCGGTCGAACCTTCGTCGCCGTCGTCGTGGATTGATGCTTCCAATCCCGAGCGGGTATCATCTTTGCTTGTTCTGACTCTTGCGAGCCAAACCCTCCCCCGAACTCCCCTAAACCATTGATTGATTTCCATGCGCACTACTCGTCATTGGGCTGGTCCCTAATTTTACCCGTGCGGTTTGCGATCTGATAGGGTCTTACGACGTCGGCGCGTGCTGGAAAGAAGATCTGCCCTATCTCATCTCTCTCATTGAGTCAAAAGCTAAAATCCCATATGATACTACTCCTCCACCTTCCCTCCTATCCTTATTATTCTGATTATCATTATCATTATCATTACTACTTCCTGTGTTTATCATTGCACCAACGTTTCTTTATTGAATATATAGAATCGCTTTCGATCCGGCGACTTTTCTCTCCCTTTTTCCCTTTTCTTGTTCACATAATCAAAGTGTTTGCTGTTGGCTTGTTTCTTGTTCCAAAACAATCATCAAGATGGAACCGTCATTTCCCAACGTGATGAACCAACCTGTGCCGCCGGAACGGACTGAATTAGGGCCTCCGCCCATGGTCATCCAACAGTACGCAAGGTATCCTCCGGCTCTGGAGCCTGGTTTACATAGCGCTTCTTCCATAGGCAGTGCTCGCACTCACATAGCTCCCTCCAAATCCCCTCCTCTGGCGCGCAAAGCTACCCCGCGCAGTCTTCAGGCATCGCCAACCGGCCCACGGCCCATAGCGCCGCCTCCACCTCCACCTCCACCACCACCTGCAATGGTGGCGCACTCTGGACCTTCGATCTCACCTCCGATGTATGATTCTATTCGTCCCCGGCCTCCACGGGACTCGATGGATCAGACTGAAACCCGATCCCTGCCTTCTCGCGATTTGACTGACAGCTCCATCGATGATGCCTACATCATGTTTGTCTTCTACTGCAATCCAAACGTCCCTCTGTCCGTGGATACCTCAGAGCTCCGCAAGAACTTTCGCTGCCCACCTCGGAGTGATGGCAAGAGTTTCAGTATATTCGCACTGTGGGAGCTTATTCGGAAGCTAGACAGCAAAGAGCTAAAGACATGGATACAACTGGCGATCGAGCTGGGGGTAGAACCGCCTTCATTAGAGAAGAAACAGAGTACCCAAAAGGTCCAGCAATATGCTGTTCGGCTCAAGGTTTGTCGCTAATCCCATTCCAGACTGCATGTTTAACTAGAAGACTAACGAATACCTAGCGCTGGATGCGCGCAATGCATGTGGATGCCTTCTTCGAGTATTGTCTCGGTCATCCGCATCCCTACTACACCCATCTTCCGCCTGCTAATGTGATCAGCGACAGCCGCGATGGAGTGCCTCTTGAAGAAGATCTTGCGCTACGGGCTCTGGTTCCGCAATGGAGGCCGAAAAGGGGACGGAAACGAGCTGAGGAAGAAAACGAAAGACTAGCCATGGCGAAAAGGCCCCATCTCGATCCAACAATGGGCGTCCTGCAGCCAGGGCCATTCCCAGGCCCTCCAGGACCATACCCACCAGGTGCCCTGCCATTTAGCACCTTTCCTGACGAGATGGGGTCGCATGATCCGTGGATGGGCAGCGCACCTCCATTCCCACCGGAAGGGACGACTGAACCTTCGTCGCAGTCTAACCCGGACCTGCGGTGGCGACCTATCGAACGAGATGCTTCCCCAGGGGGTTATCCGCATTCTGCTATAGCACCTAGAAGCCAGCATGAGTCTGATGTCTTCATCCAGCCTGCAGAACCGCGCTCAGCGGTCACAATGTCTTCTTCCGGGGAGAAGACGCGGCCTAAACGACGCCATGGCCCAGCAGTGTCATCTGCCTGGCCGAGCAACACTGGCAGTAATGGAAAGACCCGAGGCCGGCCACCAAATCGAGGGACTGTTTCTGGACCTTTCTCTTCGTTCCCAGTCAATCCCAATCGCACTGATGCATCTCATTTACCGGGCCCAGGGCTTCGGTCTTCCCCTGCTATGCTCCTGGATCAGGACCCTGCCAGTCGTTACAATCATTCTCCTTTCCAGCAGTCCCCTACGCCGTTCCATTTCGGTCCCAAGCCAGATAAATTACAGCTCCAGGTACCACCCCACCCCGGCACACCTGTCCGTCTGGCAACCCCTCCTACCCTGATGGTCAATGGTATCAACAATGCTCCTGGCTCAACAAAGATGGAAGGGCAGGGAACGCAGCGTAATGGCACCCTTGCTCCTCTAAACGACTTCATGAGTAATGTGGGCGTCACCAACCCATCTGCTTACGCAAACCGCAATAGCGTACCACATGCGGATATATCTTCCGATGACGTTGTACGTGTACTGTCAAGCGAACTTCTTCGTGGAAAGACCACCGGTCGGTCTGCTCCCCTCAGCACTGAAGAGGCCCGGGCTCTTGCAATGTCTGTAGTGTCCAGCTTGACCACTACATATGCAAAGCTACCAGCCGGCTTGGCGGCGCTTATGTCCGCCTTACATCTGGGACTTGGACAGCAATTTGGCTATCCAGGAGTGACAGACAGCCTGATGACCGTAAATGTCGAGTCAGGGCCTGCCATAACCTCAGACACGCCAAGCACCGATGGAAGCCCCAACTATGTGTACACCATTTCTCATGAGTACAAGCACGGACTTCGGTTTTCGACCAAAGTCACATACGGCGACCTCAGCATTAGCACTCCCACTCCGGACAGCCACAAGCTCGACCTTACGCCCCGGGTAACCGAGGAACTTGAAGCCAGCATAGCAGAAGCCGACAGCATGACAGATGCTGAATTCGAAGTGGATGCGGAGGATTCCACCCCCGACGCAACGTGGAAACAAAGATATCTCAAACTCCGAGCGCAGGTGCAGCGAAAGGAGCGAATGTTGTCGCAATATAAGCGCAAAATCCTAGAGTCTGTGATGGCAGACATATAGAGATGATTCGCGGCTCTGTGAGCACTGGTCGTTCACAGCGAGTCAGACTCTTAATCATCTCCTAACAAATCCCCTCCTCCTCCCCGACTTGTTGTGATACCCTATACAGTATATTCTCATATCAATGGTCGAGTCTCACCTGGACACATTTATAAAACTTCATTTCTTCTGCTCTTGGTTGTCTGTCTGTTTGTCTGTGGGCTGGAGCCAAATGGCGCTCTCCTGCTGTTTGTTGGTTTCGGTTCGGTCTTCTTTACAGATACCCCTTGAGCGAACTTGTTCGATCTGCTTCAGAGCCTGTTAATTAGTATAGAGTCTATTGATACCATCAAATGCTTGATTCATATCTGCAGTACCTGAAGCCCTATGCAAATCCCAGAGTCCATCAAAGTCGCCTGTCGGAGTATCGTATGATACAATATCCATCCCTTATCGCCCAACCTAGTAGAACGCAAGCAAGCAAGCAAAAATCAGAACGCATCAAACTTCCGTCTGCCCCATCTATGGTCAACCAGAAACTCATCCTCCTCCAACGGCAAATTGCATAACCCAGCCCACCAACTATGGAATCCAGAGGAATCCAAAGCAAAGACCTCAAACCTCATTCACCTCCACCCCCTCCTCATCATCCCCAGCCTCCTCCTTCACAGCCAACCCCCCACCAACACCAGAAAGCCCCTCTTCCTCCAATGCCGCCCTCATCTCCTCATCCTCCTCAGTCTCCTCCTCATCATCATCAACACCTTCCTCCTTCTTAATTCCAACACCGGCATGCTGCTTCTTCTGCATCAAACTCTCCGCCCGAGCGACAGCCATCTTCTTCAACCCCTTCGCTTTCTTCGATGCATCGCTGATGCCATCGGCCTTGCGCTTTCGCGAGGTCGGAGTTGTGCTCCCTGCGGCGGCAGTACTACTAGCAGTGGTAGTAGCTGTTCCCGGTCGTTTCTTGGCAGGCGTGTTGTTAGAGGAGGAGGGGAGTGAGCCACTGCCTGAGGTGTTGATGCCGTGGGACTTCAGGAGGCGTTCGTAGCGCTTTGCTCTGGTTATGGGTAGCATGATTAGTACCATATTATGTTAGGGTTGGCGCAGTAGTGTAAGTTACTGTTCGTGGCTTCTTGGGTACTAGTAGGTGATATATAAGATCGAAGGTGGGGGGTGAACGTACGCAGCGGCTTTGGTGACGATACTGCATTCTTTGGCGACGGTGGTGAAGTCGATCTATTTGGTTGTTAGGGTGAGTTTCTTTGTTTGGAGAGAATAGGATAGAAGGGGACTTACCTTGCCGCTGTTGGAGTGGCGAATGCAGCTGAGGAGGAAATGAAGCTGCTCGTCAGGGGTGATGCGTGTGGGCTTGGTCGGGGTAGTTGTGGTGGACATGTTGGGCTGGGTTTTATTTCAGCTTTTGAGTCTGATTGTAAAAGGGATGTGGGTGTGAGTAGATGTAGGTGAAAATCCTCTCTCGTTTCTTGTGATTGTGGACTCGGTAGAGTATTAGGCAGGCCGATCGGGTGAACAGGTGTGAAAGATGGAAAGAGGGGTGAGATTAGGGAGGGATAGAGTAAGGATTTGGAAGAAAGGAGGAAGACGGAAGAGAGCGAGAAGAAGAAGAAGAAGAAGAAGAAGATGGGAGGGCAGTAACACTGAGATGGGCTGAGGGCTGAGGGGATGTTAGTGGAGTCACTGCTGGCTTCGCTTAGGGTTCTTGTGAATGAGTCTGGGTATCTCAAATTGGGGGATGAAGAAGTGAAGGATCGATCTCTAGAGAACAGTGATGTGATACTACGCTCTGGCACTTCTGTACAGCTACAATGGAGTGGACAAGTCAGTAGGCTAATTCTCCCATTCAGCAGATATCTAGTGCTCTGATACTGCACAACTCATCCCAATGCTGTTCAAGATCTGTTAAGAAGAAACCAGAAATCATTGGAGTAAACTTCCCCGCCCAACTAACAACACAAGCCCTGCAAAGTGGATAGAAAATACAAAATGCGTGAACCTCCAGTCCTTCCAGATAAATTCTCCTCTTATTCCTTGCGGTGAAACGACCTTCCACGACAGGGTGGACCAAATCAAGACAAGTTACCGAGCATTAGGTATAGACTCGGATTTCTAAGATCCTTCCAAGCGTTGAGCAGAATCACGAATTGTAGTTCAAGCCGTAGCACTTTCCATGCCAGCATCTGGGGTATTGTCTTCGATGAGAGTGTCCGCATCGTCCTCCTCTTCCTCCTTCACAGCAACAGCAGATTTAGCTCCGCGCTTGCGGCCCTTGACCTCTGATTTGAGCGTACCAGTGGCAGGAATGGGCTTCGAAGTAGCCTTTGCTCCCTTACGCGTGGCGACCTTTCTACCCTTGGGCTTGACGGGAGAAGGCTCGTCGATATCAGATTCCTCATTGACGCCATCGCCGGCCTCAGTAGTGCCAGTAGCTTCTTTATCCTTGTCTCCATTGGTACCTGCGCTCTTGAGTATACCAGAGCCGGACTTGGCCTCAAGATTGTTCATGCCGTAGCGCTTGCGGAGGGAACGGAAACGGTTGCCGACAGAAGCAACATTGCTGTAACCCAGCATATCTCCAACCTTGGTAAGATCGATCTGGAGAGAAGAAGGGCATATTAGTAGAGTCGATATGTGCGACCAGAGGTCATATTACCTGCTTGTCGTCCCCCATGCATTGCAAACAGGCAAGGAAGAAATGCGCGTCTGCATTAGGGATTTCCAGACCGGTATTATTTGACTTCGCGGCCTTTGACTTAGTAGTCTTATCCATAGCGAAGGTTAGAAAATTTAGTTGTCTAGATGGCAGGGTGTAGAGAAGTTGTAGAACAGATGACTTGGTTATGAGAAGTGAGTAAGAGTGAACGGTCTAATCGGTGAGATGGAGAGGAGATGAAAAGGGAACGTTCAGGTGGTGAAGGACAGAGACAAGTGAGACGTTGAGCCACAGGTCCCCACTATATAAACACGTCAAAATGTGAGAGTCCTCACCGAACAGTTCGCTGCTATTTCAGGTTAATCGGCGAGACCAACTTCTGGTCCACTCTCTCAGTATAGCTGGTAGGATTTGTTTGTGATAGCGTAAGGGAAAAGTGAAGCCAGTAATAAAGTGTTATGCACCATTGATCAGAAGACTACCGCGCAGCTAAAGAAGAACTTCATAAGCAAAAGCAATGTCATATTTCTGCTACCAGAATAGTTCTAGCTAAGGAACAGTGGTCCTCGTGACCGGTTGTCGAAGCCAGCAACAACCCTCCAGAAAACCCGCTTCCGGTTCCCACAAGGACCGAGTTCTACCTGCCAGTGTCTATCGTAGTTGCAGAAGCCAGGATCTTGACTTGTATCCGTCAGTCCTCAATGACAGTAATCTCCGACTTCTTCTCCGATAGTTCCTCCTTGATTTCCCTATCCACACCCTTGCCTTTGTCGACCGGTTCATCTTTCACCTCGTCTAATCTCTTCTCCTCGTCTTCTGGCTCGAACTTAAAGGCCTCCCAATCAACAGAAGCCATAGCCGATGGCAAGTACTGCTGCTCGTGCTGCTGCTGCTGCTGCTGCTGATAGCTACCTGCATAGCCCATCGGCATGTACATGTTATATTCATCCATACTGTATCTGTGCGGATAGTAGTATCCCCACGGATACCCCATGGGGGTGACGAACGAACCCGCCTGCATAGCATGAGGAGGAGCGAGAGGAATATCTGCCATACGAACCATCGTATCATCGTAACTTTCCTCCTTGACCTCCTCTTTAATGGGGACGAGGGGTTCAAAGTCAGGGTAAGAGGTCACCGGCACTATCGTGGTCCTTGCCCTACTGGAACTTGCTCTGGCTGCCCTTCTGGTCTCAGCTCTCTTAGGACGCGCCACTTTCTGGCTAGACCCTTGATTCTCCAGCTGCCCTTTGAGCCGCGAGTACCGCATTCTTGCAGCATGCCCATTGGAGATATTCAGCTGCGAGGCAACCAAGGCCCAGTCGATCTGCTTAGTAGTCAGCTACTATCACTGTATTCCAGCTGTTCATGCACAAACCGTTCTCAAATCCAACTGTTTCATAATGGTGTACAAGAACTTTACAGCCGGCTCATCAACTGACATGATGGACTTGGTGCGTCTATAGTTGGACGCGGTGGACGTAGCCGATGATGGATTCGTTGGAGAGGCGAAATCATTCTCGGCTTGATGATCCATGGGTAGGTCGGGCTTCATAGTACCTGTATACCAGAAGCATTCATGTCAGAAAGAACAATACAAAAGGGGATATAACAGGAGGGGACATACCAGAAGCACTGGGCTTGACGGTGGTTTTGGTAGGAGTTGGGCTCCGGCTTTCCATCACCTCAACTACTCCAATGTATGTGTGTCCTGTGCAAGCACAATGGAATATGAAGTGCTCACAGTACGAGAAAGATGTTGGAGGTGAATGATGGGAGATGGAAGAACATGGATTTGGACCTGATACTTATAGGCCTAATTTCCAGTTCCGGAATAACGTTCAGTATCTCCTTTGTGAGTGAATCCAGGTACTGTATGCATGCTTTCCGTGAGGGCTCCACTTTGTTTCCGACAATAACAGTGTATGCGCAGCTAGGTATTGCCTCCATGTAGATGCCTAGCGTCCTGTTCCTGTTAATATCCTTGAATACAGGGCCTGATTGGTGCTACTCACCCGTGCACGCGGGATAGTGAATCAGACTGCTGGTGCAGGATTGGTATACTGAGGGCAGCTCACCAGAAAACAAAGCAGAGGCTGGTTCTAGATGCAATCTAGACAATTAGTGCAGTAAAACAGAGTATGCTCGGCAGTCTAGCCATGGTCTGTAAATACAGCGTAGGTGTTGAGTCCAGGTTTACCCTCCGGATTAGGCTTGCAGTGCCAGCTACTATTGGTACAGTAAGAAAAAAATCATGTTCAAGGAATAAAATGTTCAACTCGACATACTAGGCCATTGGGAGTGTACATCGTGTGAAATTTTATTACATACTACTAGTATCTTAGTTGTATTTGATCGAGACGGTTGGCAGAATATATACTAGCAATATAGTAATATACACACCAGCCAAGAAGTATAACGCGTAGAAAATAATTCATAGTACCCTGTATGTGGTCCTATCTTGCTGTTGTGGGAATATCATCTCTAAGCACTGAGCCTCCTGTCACTTTCATGCATAACATGTTTAGATGCGTATAGTAGGACCGACATTAGGTTTGATTAATCGATGTAGGCACAGATAGCTGCAGGAGAATTTCCATAGTGAATAAAGCATACTAATGTCCTGAAAACGTCCTTCTGCCTGTAAGCAAAAGTGGATATTTTACCTTTCCATGAAACACCAATCACACCAAAATGATTAGCAGGTAGTATCGATGTCTCATGTTATTTTTATCTGTCAATTACTTACGGAAGATGCCGTGGTTAATTGCATATCAGCGTGGCTCTCTCCGCGACAACTAGTCACTACCAGTATCTCTCGATGGTAGAAGCCGTCCAGAGTACGGTTGTTTCCATTTATTTTCATTATACATGGTGAATGCTCACAGGGAAGATTCAAACCTACTGCCTGTGTCCTTGTTGTCTGTTCAACCGTGTTCTCCGACTGTTTACTCGATCGTGGATCTCCAACTTCAGCGATGATGTCGACAGTGGGTCCTGACTAATCCCACCACCACATTACCCCTCTCGGCATACAAGTTGCAGCAGATATTCAGCTTCAGTATATCATTCCTCTTTGTAGGAATCATCAAGTAAACAAGATGTCATTGGTCGCAATAGGTGCATGCTATCTGGATACAATCCTAACGTTGGTTGGCGCCTCTACTCCTAGTTCCCACCATTTCAGTAACTCATTCTTTGTATTAGAACCCCCCACTACCCAGGAGAAGATGAGAAGCTACGGGCTTCGAGTATCTCCCATCGACGGGGAGGTAATTGCCCAAACTCTCTGGAAGTTCTAAAGCAGTTGACAACGAACAGTCCGTCAACTGCCAATGTCTCCCTGAACCTTATTGCTGTCCTACCTGCGAAGACATCTACTGCTTCCCAGGAGATCCAGTCGGCATTCAAACCGCACGTTAACCTATCTCATTGTATCTTTCGAGAGGCCTTCAATGAGCCCGCCTCAAGCTACATCATTAAAAGCGAATCGTCTGGCAGTCGGACCATTGTCAACTACAATGAACTGCCTGAGATCACGGTAGACGAGTTTACCCAGATTGCAGGCAATCTCACCAACCCATCCTGGTTCCACTTTGAGGTTTGTCACGATGCTTTTTACACTCATGATGCATTCTTCAGGAGCTAACAACTTCGTCCCCAGGGTCGGATACCTGATATAACTCTATCATGTATCCAATATCTCCGTCAACAGTACCCATCCGCGACTATCAGCGTCGAGGTTGAGAAGCCTGGGCGTGAGGGTCTGCAAAACCTCGCAGCGGAAGCCGACATCGTGTTCTACTCGAAGAGCTGGGCTCAAGTAAGGGTTACTTGGGCAATCTACATCGTGTATCTCTCTGACCACTGACTTGCAGGGCAACGGATACCAAACTGCTGAAGAGTGTGTTCAGAAAGAATCCACACTAACACGAAAAGCGTATGGTCCTTGCTGTATCCTACACGTTGAATCTATGAGTGCTGATTTTACCAGGTCGTTGCTGTGCTGCACTTGGGGTCAAGGAGGTGCAGTGGCCTTTGAGACCAAGACACAGAGTCTGGTTCATAGTCCTGCATACTCTGCAGCAAACTTTCGAGTCATCGAGTAAGTCCACCAACAATTTCCCCTCCTCGTGATTTCTGGTTGTGCCACATCCGGTAATTACTGTATTCGAACGGCCCCTCTAACATTGAACAAGCCCGATCGGCGCAGGTGATACTTTTATAGCCGGCATGCTATACGCACTAATCTGTCGAAGAAATGAATGGAGCCTATCTCAGAAATTGGGCTTTGCGAATCGACTTGCTGGTATGAAAGTCTCCCAGGAAGGATTTTCGGGCCTTGCAAGAGCTTTGGAGTCTTTTCCTTAGGGTCATTGTATATTATTGCAGAGAGCCACTTTCAATGCAAAGTACTAAGTAGTAGCGAATATAAATCATGTAGTGAAAATGTATTATGGTGGGATCAAGAGTAGGAGAGCAAGATTTATTAATAATGCAGCCGCTATGCTTATCGATGAACTGAGATCGACCATTTAATCTGCAAGATTAACTGTTCATAGAGCATAGCGCGCATGATATAGTTCAGATGTTGAATGCTCGTTACGTACTAATAAAATATTGTCATGAATACACGTGATAAGGATCTAGATTCAACTGTAGGAATATACATATATCACGTGACAATATCTTACGCATGGGGAAGGCGGTCTCAGCCAAAAATTATTCTGCCCGCAGCTTTTTCTAAATTTGCGGGCGATCAACAGAATCGGAGTCTCCAAATCGCTACAACCCATTCACCATGGCATCCGTTTACAAGACTATCTCAAAGAAGGCAGCTCGTCAGCTCGCCAAGGAGGAGGAGTTCGATGAGGAGGATATCGAGATGGAGGAACTTCTCGACAACGCCGACGACACCACCGACAGCGAAAGCGATGAAGAAACTACGACCGAATCGGCCAAGAAGCAGCTCGCTCAAGGATTCATGCCCAAGACTCGTGTACTGATGCTAACCTCTCGAGGTGTGACATACCGGTATGCTTGATGCCCCCATCCAACATGATATATTAACAATGTGCGAATGTGACGCTAATCTTTTCTGTTTGCTGCAGCCATCGACACCTGCTCGCCGACCTTGCGTCTCTGCTTCCTCACACTCACAAGGAAAGCAAACTTGACACCAAGAAGAAGACCGCTGGATACAATCTGCTCCTTAACTCTCTTGCCGACCTTCACTCCTGCAATGTGATTTTCTTCCTCGAGGCTCGTAAGCAGGGTCAGGACTTGTACCTCTGGCTTGCTCGTCCTCCCAATGGCCCGACGATCAAGTTCCACGTCGCCAACTTGCACACAATGGCTGAATTGAATGCTGGATTCAGCGGCAACTGCCTCAAGGGTGGCCGTGGTCTTGTTGTTTTCGATCGCTCTTTCGACGAACAGGGTCCGCTCATGAGCCAACCCGGCAACGAATACCGGGGTCTGATCAGAGAGATGCTGCGCGGTGTCTTCTGTGTCCCTAAGCGTGGTGTCAAGGGCATGAAGCCATTCATTGACCGCATCATCGGTGTCTTCGGTGTCGATGGCAAGATCTGGATTCGAGTCTACGAGATCCGCGAGTCCGAACCCGGAAAGAAGTCTGAGGATGGTGCAGATGCCAAGCCCACTCCCAAGAGCAAGGACGGTCAGCCGGAGGTTTCTCTGGTCGAGATCGGCCCCCGTTTTGTTCTTACGCCTATTGTCATCCTGGAGGGCAGCTTTGGCGGCCCTGTCATCTATGAGAACAAGGAGTACGTGAGCCCGAACCAGGTCCGTCGCGAGGTCCGCATGAGCAAGGCGGCTCGCTACGCCAAGCGCAGAGATGGGCAGACCGACCGGTTCGCGAAGCGGTCGAACCTGGGATTGGGAGAAGGCGAGAGGAAGCCGGATGCGCTCGACACAAGGCAACTGTTCAAGTGATGGATTTCCGTTTTGTTGGTTCTTTCTGTTGTTTTACGCCCTATTAGACTTGATATCCTCAAGGGATGTATATGTATTGATGCGAGGGGTACATGCATGGTCCTGCTGGCGTCTGGTGTGAAATAATAATAAAAGTTTTGATGCTACGGTTCACTATTATCCTGATTTTATGGATCTAATCATAGAATAAACGAACCTTGGACTTACTACTGAGTGGATTAGTATCGTTGCTATGAGCCTCAGCGATTGGTAATAGGGGAACGGTCAGTCTTCCAGCTCTCCAAAGAGTGGTGCAACTTGCAGCAAGGGAGGCCACGAACTACTGGGCTGTACGTTCTTGAGCTATAAGTATGTCGCAATTTTGACTGAAAGAACGAAGTAGCTGGTGAGCCATGGCGCATCTGCGGAGGAGCGTCGGCCTGGCTGAAAAGCGGAATGATGAAGGGGGATCCTGTCAAGTGACTTGGCGGCGGGTCTCCCTTTGCCTGCCCCGGATTTCCTCAGCGCAGCTGCACCCTTTCGCTCGTCATCATGGCATCCCTTTCGCAATACAGCCCTGGGTGGTCGCTGGGTGCTCATGCACCTTCTTCCACAATGGCCTCCACTCTGTCTTGCTTTCACTATGTTTTGATCACCCCCAAGGGCGGGGTCGCGACCTAGAGTTAGATCGTGATCGCGACGGCGTTGACTCACTACAGCGCCGCAGCTACCTCTGTGCCGAAGACTCGCAATTGAACCACATAATCTTCTCTCCATACCTTTTGACCTGATTAACTGTACTAGGTACATGTGACTATCAAATGAATGTCTACTGGTGTATTCGCTGACGACCCTAGATCCTTTCAAACCACTGAGCCATGCCCTTCCATCAATTGGCCACGGAGCTATTGCTCCATATATTTCGCTCATGCGAATCTGTCGCCGATGTTATGAATCTTGCAATGACTTGCCGGCGACTTCATACCGTCTTCCACCGGTCCAATAAACTACAAATTCTCGTTGATGTTGCGGAGTCTGAGTTGGGCCCTTTGGATGATATCATCCAGATCGTCACGCAGAATACCAGCCAACGTGCCCACCTCTTTCGTACCGCCCCTATAACCGACTCCCTCCTTAAACAAATAGTCCAGATCGGGCACGTGGCCCAGAAGTGGGAAATCATATATCCGGTCAAGAAATGGAAGACCGATTATGAGAATCGTCGCTCGCTGGATGACGATGAGCGGTTCCGTCTCCGCCGTGCAATATATCGTCTTTGGCTGTACCACCGGGCCTTTCACACGGAGACTTATAGTCGGTTTAGCCGCACCCTTCCACATATCGTTTCCGAGCGTGCCCAACTCTTGCACAACTGGTCCACAGCCGAGCTGGCCGAGATTGAGGATGTGCGTTTGATCATCGGTGATATTGTGCAGAACCACATTTGTCCAAGCAACGGGACTATCCAACGCAAATTCCGCAAACGCTACCCGGAAAGTAACCATCAACTGACCTTCAATATCCATTTAAATTACCCTTCGAGCAGTAGTCCCGCTGGTGCACCTAGTCTGTTTGAGAAGGATCTCAATCCAGCCGAGCAGTATTTCCACACCGCGCACCCTAGCAACTTCACTGAATCACCCGCCAAATATAAGTCACGGTTTCGGAACGATTACTTTCATGACCCTGGTTCTGAAGGATGGGGTGACGAGATCCCACATTATTATGTCGTGCAGGACATGCTGAAACTCGATCCGGGCCAGGTGATCTGGCTACGGGAGCATGCACCTCTTAAAGAACAGGTGGAGACTTATGTACGCTCCTTTGGGGACTGGTTCCGCGACAATGGCGAGACCTTTGGCGATACATTGGAGTGGGTGATGAAGGAGCGGGGTGATGATATCGATGAGTTTCGAGCTGCTATTGCAGAACGGGAGGTTGGCGTGGTGTGGGATTGATTCGATGGAATTGTGTATGTTTGCTGTCATATTGCGTAGCATATCGATTACTGTAGGAAAGCATGTTAGTGTTACATAGTTAATGTGAGAGAACTATCAACTGTGCAATGGGAACATTACCTTTTCCCTTGTGTGACCACCAAGCACCTTGGACTCTGTAGATACTCCGCGCTCCTATTAGTCAATATTCATCAATACCATAGACCTCATACCTGACCTACAGACATCAAACTACGATAGACATGAACAGTATAGTATATGCACGCCAAGCAAACAACTGGCTCTACACAATAGCTAGATAAGTATCCATCCATTCTGACCCATCAACCCGTTCCTGACCACCCGAGCTTAGTACGTACAATAAACCACAATAATAACCAATTTTAATAAGATATCATACCTGCAACCCCCCAAAGCAGCCCCTAATCACCACACCTACCTACATGGTGTGATCATCTCTCACCCACGTGTCCCAATCCAGAGCTTAAGAGCAACCATAGCTTAGTAGACTATCTAGCAGATAGTCTAGCTACCTGTCAAACGGAACTCTATTCCGTTAATTAATAGCTCGTAACTACTATTAATTTCTATCTCTGTGATATAGTACTCTCCAATCAACCATAATATTCATGTTTCTCAAGATTCCAACGCCCCAATTCAATCCTGTACATTAAGCAGGAAAAGAGAAAGATAACTCTTACTCTACTAGTAGTTATGACTAGCCCCCAACTTGCCAAAAAGCAAAGCAGTCAAAAACAAAACCCCCTAGTCAAGCGACAACAACGTCTCCTTCCCCTTCTCACCCCTGATCAACCCAGTCTAAACCAGACGGGGAATAAATTCAGCCGCGGCGGCTAACAGTGGGTAGGAGTGAGTGGAGACGGAGACACACTGTGAAGGGAGCACCTTGAAACCGAGGCGGTTGGCTTAGGTGGTCTTACCTAAGTGTCTACTTGTCTTGCTGGAGTGGTTGGCTTGGGGGTAATGGGGCTGGAAAAGGTGGTGGCTGGTGTTCTTGTGTATCCTCGAGTATTCCATTTACACTGGGAGTAATACTCTACATAAGAAAAAGTGATTAAGTGAGTACCGCGTGTGTAGCGATGAGAGAGAGAGAGAGAAAAGAGAAAGTAGCTGTGGAGCTCCCGGGTCAAAAGTGGGTCGGGCGAGATGCCCGCATGGGGTTGGCGAATTATTAATGGCTAGTAACGGGCAAACCAACGGGCGTCGGGCCCCATCCGAGGCGGCCAGAAGGGACGATTGCTTTGGCTTGCTTGCTTGCTTGTTTCTCTTACGGATCACTTTTTGTGCATTTCTTCTTTTATTGCATTTATAAGCGAGTAATCTTAGCAAAACCACTGTGCATACCGAACAGACAATCCTGTAGAGCCACGGATAAGACGCCGGGGGGAAAGTGGGAAATAGGAACAAAATTCGTTAAACCAAACAGGGATCTGGGTTTCCGTCATTAGGCAGACATCATGGGGGAACAGCAGTAAGACGTTAATCAGATCAATTTCTCATCAGGTTAGAATATAGGGAAGAAAAAAAAGGAAAACGAAGGGGGAGGAATCCACAAGAAAGGGGAGCAAAAGGAATAGAGGGGAAAGTGGTAAAAGGGAAACAGAAGATATAAAGGCAGAGCGAACAAGGTGTCGGGAGAATGTGATGTCCAACAAACACCGCCGTACAATGTCCATGACCCCAGGTGCCATTCCTAACAACGTCCCTCTTGTGTATCATCTCCAGGAGGCTAAGTAACAGACAAAAAGAGAGTTCAAGACCGTTCAATTATCACATCACAAAAATAAAAAGTCGTTGCGGTTGACGTGTCACACATTCCCCGATCTCGTGGCCCCTTAACAGCATCCCTGCTTGGTCTTCGGGTCCTCCGACTCGTCGATCCGCACCATGTCGCGGCGGTCGCCCAGAACGGTCTGGCCGGCATCACCGCCATCCAGAGCCTTGCTGGAGACGATACGGTAGATTTCTAAAGGTGACAAGAACGTCAGCATGACGGAATTCGTCTGGTAAACTGAGGACCGGGGGCAAGTCTAACCTGTCAGGATGTTCTGGAAAGCAAGCTCGACGTTGCTGGCGTCAAGGGCAGATGTCTCGATGAAAGAGAGGTTGTTCTCGCCTGGTAGCACGTTAGCACGCCAGCACATTTCATCCTAAGCCAGCGAAGGTTCCAACATACTTGCGAATTGCTTGGCCTCTTCCGTGGGCACAGCCCGCAGGTGCCTCAAATCACTCTTGTTACCGACCAACATGATAACGATGTTGGAGTCGGCATGATCGCGGAGTTCCTTCAACCACCGGTTGACATTGTCGTAAGTCTGGTGCTTACTGATATCGTAGACGAGAAGAGCACCGACAGCACCCCGATAGTAAGCGGAGGTGATGGCACGGTAACGTTCCTGACCAGCAGTATCCCAAATCTGAGCCTTGATCGTCTTGGAATCGACCTGGATCGAGCGGGTAGCGAACTCGACACCGATGGTGGACTTGGAGTCCAGGTTGAACTCGTTACGGGTGAAACGACTCAAAAGGTTGGACTTTCCAACACCAGAGTCTCCAATCAGGACAACTGTTAAGTACAATCGTCGTTGGTTAGCCGTGTATCGCGAAAATGCGGCCGACAATAGAGGCGATGGGATCGAGCGGCGACTGTGCGGAGACGGGAAGTGGCAACTTTACCTTTGAAGAGAAACTACCAAGTAGCCCGTTAGTTATACCGTTGCTTGGCAAGGGGTGCGAATGAGAGAAAGAGGATACTCACATCGTACTCGTCGTTAGCCATGAGGGGTGGTTTGCGAGAGCTCGCTTAGCTTTGTTACACGTAAGATCTAGAGGACTGGGAAGGGAGACGACGTGGTCGAGCTGGGGGGAGGTTTGGAGGCTCTTGAAAGGAAATCCGGTAATAGAGTGTGTCTGACTTTCTGGAAGGAGGGGCGCAACGTTGTCAGCTTTCAGGACCACATCCAAGGGACAGAGGCACTCGGGGGGAGCGAGGAGAAGGGACGTTTAAAAGTAACCGACGGGAGGCGGGATCGGAGGAACTTACCGATGAGTGTAGGGGAGGCAGGCACCGGGGCAGGGAGATTAGGAGGTTATCCAGACTGACTTTCTCCCTACGGATTCCCGTCCGTCGTTCGCAGTGCCGAGTGCACTGTCGCCCCTTCGGGACTAGCGCACGATCACGTGAGTGTATGCAGGTGGGCGGCGCGAGGACTTCAGTTCTTGATCTATTGATCAATTATTGTAAGTATCCTGTTGGGGGAGATCGCTTTTCACACGGACAGCTCCTTTAGGTGCACCGTATGTGTCCGTAAAAGTGTGTTTGTGTGACCTGATTGCTTTTCATCGCATGATTGGTCCTGCAGTTCTTCCGCTGTATGTTTGCCGTGTGCACTTGCCAGTGCGAATCTAATCTACACTTCGAATCGCGCTTACATGAGCAGCTGGCTGGCTTTCAGCAATTATCCATTCATTTGTTTCAAGCCCAGCTCACTGGCGGCCCACTATGCTATGCTAGGTGGCTATCCTGTAGCTAAATTTGCGTCTCCGGCTCTCTGTTGCGCCCTGCATTCCTTGGGCTCCACATATCAGAAAATCCTTACGCACTCAAATCCCATTCAGTCTTGCTGTATAATACGGCAATGACTAGAAAGCAGGATGAGAGCGATGATGAAATTTCCATCACCTCGACTGCGGTCAGCTCACAAGCATCTGAGTATGATGTGGAGGCTATCCTAGCCGAGCACAAATTCCCACATGGAAGGAGGTTTCTGGTCAAATGGGCCAATTACCCTGAGTGGAGAAGTACTTGGGAGCCTGCAGAATCCTTCAGAACAGCAGAGACCCTTATCGACTGGCAACGCAGAAAACAACAGATTGCAGAAGGGAAGCTTGAAGCGTATGACGTAGCTGACTGGGAGCGAAAGAACTTGAAATTCCAGGAGGCAAAAGAGGAGAAGAGACGCAGAAGAGATGCCAGAAGAAAACAACTTGGCTTACCCACGAAGGGTCCCGTGATCGAACCTTCAATTTCTTGGGATAGCTCCTGTGTGAGTGCAAGACAGAAGAGTACACAAACGTCGCCCACTTACACACCCAGCATTCGTTCACTGCCTTCTAAGAGGCAGCATGCCGTGGCGGAGCAACCCCCGGTCCTGTTTGGAAGTGGACAAAAACCAAAACCAGCGTCAGCTACGCCGCGTTCCGAGAATGCTCAGGAGGCCGCGAAGTGGTTTTCGCATTTGTCAACGAGGCGAAAACACGAGAAAGCTAAATTCAGAGAGCCAGATCCCGACATAAATCAACTAGAGCTCGTTCGACCGTCAGACTGGTCATTTAAAGCACCTCTGCACCTTCCCAAGTCTGGTTCTGTTGATCAAACACGAGAATTAGTCCAAATCGCGGATGAGCAGTCTGTTTCTCATACGGAAACTCGTCTCCCAGATGGACTTACTCATTTACCCGACCCGCTCACTGATCCGTCAAATGAAGACCGGATCAAGCACGACCGTCCAGATAAACCGGTCCAAGATGTTCCCAAGCTACCTCGGAGGGTGCCTGGTCCCTATGCCAAATTTGTGTCCGGCCGCTTTTGCAATCCCGGTGAGGTGTTAGTGTATATGTATTATGGACCAGACAAAAGATCCATTGGCCCAGCTAGACTATGTGGCCTTAGCCCCATGTCTGCTAAAAGGCTTATTGCAAGTAAGGCGGGTTTATATATTGAGGTTTGGTTCCAACATCTTTGCACGCTGGAGGATTATGAGGTACTCTGTTATAATTCAGTAAGTGATTCGGCGATATAGAACTAGTCTTTTTTGCTGATCCTAACAACCATAGCGGTCGCGACATCGCACATATTGTAGGGGCTGGATTCAGGGGTTTAATGATACGGAGTCCAAAATATATAGCATGGCACAGGAGCTTGAGCAAGGCGACCTTCTCGCGATTTTTCCAGGCATCCAGGGTACGCCACACAACGTGTTACTGGCCTACCCGTCTAATTCACTGAAGCTCGAGTCACTCAGCGATGGCTACTCCAGGAACCAGCCGGATACCTTTCTTAACCTTGTTGTGAGAGATCCCTTGGAATCTCTTGAGTTTATTGAGCGACTGCCCTCTAGAGCAAGAGCCGACGACCGGTGGACAGATCCTCGCCACCAAGACGCTGTCGTGAGGGACTTCCCGTATTATCAACTACCTGGAAGTGGATGTGACGGTATAAAACACGTCGACGACGCCCCAATGTCAATATCGTCTGAGCAGGGAAAGAGATCAACAGAAAGGCAACTCAAAGAGGTAGCTAGTGAGACGAAGTTGGAATCATCACCAAAGCAACTGGGGGTTGCTTCAGCAGAAAAGCAACTGAAGAAGATTGGGATACCCGTGAAGCCAGACAATTCACACGAGCCAATCGAGCTACAGTCTGAGAAAATGTCTAGTCCTGCGAAGCCAGACTCTTCACAGAAACCTCTGGAGCCAGCTTCGGCCGAAACAAATGAGTCTGCCGACCAAGTGCAAGACGAACCCATGGAAATCGATGATGAACAAGACGAACTCATGGAGATCCATAAACAGCATAGTTCTGCTTCAGCGCCATGCGAGCAGGGCTCAATAACCGCCCCGCCTACAGCTGACCTCGAAAGTGTTTTCAAAAAGGAGTTTGGAGTATCTTATGAAACTCTAGTGACAGTGAACGCCGCAGGCAAGGTGCAGAGAGCAGAAGCGTTTTTTCTCCTATTCGAGTCCGAGGCACTTCACAATGAGCTTCTAGTCCTCCAGGCCTTCTTAAATGCACATAACCCTGTTATATATACCTGGCAGCAGAAAGACGACTGGGAGAAATTTGCGCGAGCTGTCCAAGTCGGGGTGGTTTTGGTATGTTTTGCTTTCAACCGAGCTCAAGATGCACTAAAAGACCAACAATCAAGCAGGTTCACGAGAGCTTCGTCAACTTCAACGAGTTGCCTTTCTTCCAAAACGTCATCAGCAAGCCAATCAACTTCTGGAGCGTCTCTCTGGCCAAACCTCTCGAATATGCCGGTCACCGGTCCCACTTCCAGCGCATTTTCCCACATGGCGGGGCTATCTTGATGACAGAAGATATAATGCTTCAGGATCCGAAAGGAACCGTAGTAATCCTAGCGTGGTTCGCTGACTTCATCAAGAAGAAGTATCCGGGATATTGGAAAATCATGTTTCGGCCTGCTGTTCTGGACTGGCTCATGCAGCAACCAGAACCCACAGACGAGTCAATACAGGGAGTGTACGTTATTTCATTCCAAGCCAACCTACACTCTAATTTCTCTAACAAAAAACTCTGTCTCTAGATGGCCTACCATGTACCGTTTAGTCCTAGAATGTTGCGGCGTTCCCGCATACGACACCCCCCTTGGCGAGCTATCATCCGGAGCCCATGACGACTACCTCGAAAGCAACGCCATATCCCCTCCCAGCCTACCGAATTATGGCACCCGCACCGAAGCAGACAATCCAGACATCCCCAAAGGCCTAACCCAAGACCAGCGCAACGCAGACCACCTTGTTGAATTTTTTGCCGGCTGGGGCCTGGTTCATCGCCACCGATACCGACGATTGGTCGTCCTCACGCAAACGAAAACCCTGGACCGATGGAGTAAATGGCAACACATCGATGTCAAATGGGGCGCGAAGGATTTCTTGAAAACATTCAAAATTAATCATAGATACTACTGGTCAAAAGTCTTTGCTGCTCCTTCCTCGTCTTCAGCAGCGTCTTCTGCCAGTCTTATTTCTTCTAGACCAGGTACACCGTCTGAAACACGAGCCTCATCGGATTCCTATACGCCGCGGACACCGAAATCTCGAACTTCATGCATGTCGGTTACCAGGGATATGGATGGAGCTAGTTACTATGGCCGGATACCTGGCGGAGTATCTTCGTATCCGGATCCATACAAATGAGTCTTACGTGATAAGTTTTGCAAAAAGAAAGATTGTGTGTTACGAGCCGGGGCGGACTGATTGCTGTTCTAAGATTCCCTATCACGTAGTTCAGTTTCCTATTTCCCTTTTCTTCTTTTCTGTGTCTTATGTTTCCTATACCCAGTGGGCGTGAATTTGTTGTGTCTGAGGGAGATGGTGTGCCCCTCGTCGATTGATAATTTGTGTAGTAACCGTTTCATATGTAAATGACAAACGGAAAGACTGTCCTGATAATGAAACCCGGTGTTTGAGCCACGTATTTATACAGGAATATCAACAACATAGAATAAACCATGTAAATACTTGCAAGGCGGATATATACTAGTGGCAGCAGTAGCAATAAGTTCAATAGTAAGCAATGAAAGGTATCAACACCGATATAACAACGCCCAAAACAGCCAGCTTATATGAATAACTCATCCAACTAGTAATCGCTCAGCGAGGTTAATGACAACAGGATTAACTGCTGTCTGCCTGCCTGCCTAAGTCCCATGCTCTCCATTCCGTCCATATGTACATCGTCATCATCATCAACAACATCGAATCCAAGCGAACGACAACTAAAACCCAGCCGTCTGCGTGCGATATTCCCTGAAACTCGAAATCGGGGGTAGTTCATCCGCCGGCCGTGTCTTCGCTTTCTTATCTTTACTCTTCTCCGCTTTCTCTCGACGGACCTTCTCCTCCCACTTACTTTCCTCAGCGGCAATCATGGAATGGAAGCGTCCGCCCTGACCGCGCGCAAGATATATTGGTTTCTCGTTCCGCTCCGCGACGGATTCTGTGACCAGGACGAATTTGACGCTCGAGCCGGGGGTTTCGAACATTGCGTCGCTGAGGATGGTTTCTAGTTCGGTGCGGAGGGCGCGCGCGCCTGTACCCATTGTGAAGGCATTGGCGGCGATTTTGTGCAGGGCGGGAGTGGTGAAGCGAATTTCAATGCCGGAGAGGCTGAAGAGGGTGGTGTATTGGGCTAGGAGGGAGTTGCGGGGTTCAGTGAGGATACGGACGAGCAGAGGGGTGGTTAAAGTGGAGAGGGCGGCGGTGACGGGTACACGGCCGACTAGTTCAGGGATGAAGCCGTAGTTTTGCAGGTCGGTGGGGTTGAGGAGATCGAGGGCGTTGAAGTAGGTTGGTTCGCTGTCGGGGGAGTTGGGAGAGGTGGCCGACGTGAAGAAGGGGAGGTGCTTTTTGTATAGGGCTTCTTCTTCGGATCCCGGGAGGATGGGGATCGGTTCGTTGTTCCCCGGTGTGTGGTCGCGAGATCGATTGTTTGTGAGGGCTGAACCGCGGACGGGCTGGCCGAAGCCGATTGATCCGCGAGATATCCGGTCCATGATTACTTTGTGTAGCCCGACGAAAGCGCCGGAGAAAATGAAGAGGATGTTGTCTGTGCGGACGTTGTAGACCTCGCCTTTTTGGGGCATGTTGCCGCCATTGGGGTTGAATGGGGAGTTCCCTAGCGGGTTGTTGGAGGGAAATGTGTTGGGGGAGTTGCCGACACGAGGTGCACTTCGTTCTTGTTTCGCTTGCACTTGTACCGTTGTGCCCTCGATGAGCTTGAGCAGCGCTTGTTGTACTCCTTCACCACTGACGTCCTTCCCGTGGCTGACCTTTGCTGCGGCAATTTTGTCCACTTCGTCCAACACGATTATGCCGCGCTCCGCCTGCTCGACATCATAATTCGCAGCGGCCAGAAGCCTGTGGACGCAAACTTCTGCATCCTCTCCAATGTAACCAGCCTGCGTGAACGGTGTGCAGTCCGAAATGCTGAACGGGACGGATAGTATCCTTGCCAGTGTCTTTGCCATGAGCGTCTTTCCAACGCCAGATGGCCCCAATAGAAGGATGTTGGATTTCTCCAGTTGTAATTCCGACGAATCGTCAAGTCCAGGTTGCGCTGATGTAGGCAATGTACCTATTTCGGGGGTTGTATTGACGGTTTGTTGTTGGCCTGGGAACTCGTCTGACTGGCTTAGCAAGGCTCAGGTGATTTGACAGGCAACGGAATACAGATAACCTACCTTCGACCGGGTGATGCTCAATTGCCTCTCTGCGCGCCCATTTCGCTAGCAACTCTGCGTTTTCCTCCTCACGTCTCTGCAGCTCTTGCACCCGTTGGTAGTGGTTGAAGACCGCGACGCTAAGTATCTTCTTTGCACGATCCTGGCCAACGACGAACTGGTCTAGGTACTGCTTCAACGTTCTGGGGGTCACCCGAGGGGCTCCGAAAGCCGGAGCTGACGCAAGAGGTCCGGTTGTTGGGAGATCCGGTTCATAACTGCCAGTCCACGGCTGGTTTGTGAAATCTGAGCGATCGAATTGGGACCAGGCAGGGAAAGTGGTTGATGAGCTGGTGAATCCACGGCGAACAGGGCGGGTAAGCGGCTTCGGCGCATGCCGATAGCGCAAGGGAGAGTTGCGGTGCGCCCTGAGGAGGCCACGGGCCTGTATAGGCAACCGTAGCATGGCCAAGCGCAGTGATATCTGCAGGAGAAGGGTGCGATGATGAATATATGGGAAGGACGCAAGAAGCAGCTGGTCTGTGAAAAAGAGAGGGAGAAGGAAGGCTGTGGGCAGTCGAGGACTGTCACCTCCGATGGCAGCAGATAAGATGCAATACAATCAAATCAAACCAAATCGGGCGATAGCTTTCCCCGCAGCACGTGATGCTTATCGCCGACGGTACCCGTGGATGACGTGGTTGAGATGGGCTTGTCTAACACAACAAGTAAGGTTTGGACGCAAGAAGGATCCGTCAGTAGAAGAACTCTGGAAGACGTGTTGAGCTTCGTGCTTTGTTAGTTCGGAGGTTGTGAAACTCGAGGCGGATAAAGAACTCGTGTTTCGTCATCCGGGAGCTCCAAGTGCGACGAGCGGTGGCGGTCCCGATCGTCGCTCCCGTCCGTCCCAGACACCGACTTCGCTAAGGCCGACCTGTGCCATTCTAAACAAGTATGGCCTCCAAGGTGGTCTTTATTAATGACCTGAATAAGTGCTACATGTGAGATTTTCAATAGAATAGTATGAATTCATTTAGCATGAACTGGGATTAAATTCCCTATACTTCCCCGTTCTTCCATTAATTCATATGAAACAATGCGAGTCTGCCAAGAGGCATTGAACTACTAATTGTACCAAACCTTCTTCTTTCCCCAATGGCCTCAATTATGCTTACACGTATTCCTGTAAGCTTCCGTCCATTCGACAAATGTGTCAAGGTCGTATCGTACATTTAGCTTTGGCCAACCGAGCGGTTCCGTACTTTCCATGACACTGAAAGTTTGTAGTCACGGCTGTCATTCTTCCATTTGAGGTGTCCATACTGGTCCAATCGCTGGGGCGTCCTGTAAATATGGGAAAGCAATAGTCCCCAGGTGCCTCGTGCGCGATAGCTCGGCGTCAACTGGGGAGGGACCAGTGGCATCGACACTGCCACAGATTATACTGTAAAGCAGTGTGTTACAGCAACTGGCTGCGGCTTGTGCCAACCGCCACCCAGAATGAAAAGGAGAATTGAGCGAGTTGCGCTCGAGACAATCCATACTCCGAGATATCGAAAAGCTAGCTGCTTGATTTGAAGGCAGGCTGCTGCTCCATAGTTTGAGATATGAAGTTCCGCAGGGCCGCCCATCGATTGGAAACCGAGCCCCCATCCGTGTTGCTGTTGGAGTCTGTAGTGGTTGGCGCTGGTGCTTGCATGCTGGACATCTGCGCCATATTCTTCGCAAACCGATCGCGCTCCAGCCGTTCTAGCTTCTCTCGACGCTTCATAGCACCTGGCCTATGCTGCAGAGTTTTCTGCTTGATGATATTAACCTGTTTGCTAGGGTCGGTAGCAGCATCGTCGGCGTCCGGAAGCGCATCGGCCAATGAGTCCAGAGCAGCAAGTTTCTTGGAGGCACGCCGGCGCTTTGTAGATTTCTGGGAGTTCTTTTCTATCCTGGACACAAAGCTGCTGTGCTTAATCAAGCGCTTGTCCTTCTTCGTCGTGCGAAACTCATCGTGGAGAAAGCTGGGCTTAGACGAGGGCAGAGCGCCTTTCCCACTTGCAGGCTTCTTGATCGAGCGAGTAGGAGCCTATAGCAGTAAGGAGGTATTGGTAAGAATACGTGCATGCATGATATCAACTAGGGGAAAGCTTACCATGATGGGGAGGGATGTGCTGTTTCTCCGTTCGGGGAACAAGACGAAAAAAGGCTTGCATGTGCTTCACGAAGAACCGAATTCTTCGTTGATTCCGATGGGGTAGCGCGGACTATTCCGGAAGAGCACTAGTCCCCAACCGAAGACCCGATAGTATGTGTGGCTCACCGCCCAGGTGATTTCGGGGCCTCACCGACTGGCCGAGCCTAACCAGAGAGTGACAAAGTATTGAACCTCAGGCCAATTCCCCCCTTCCCGGTCTAGTTCGGGGTCCCTGATGGCCGTCTTCAGTCAAAGATCACTCGCGCTTTGTCTCGCGCCAGCCATTCGGGTTCCATCCTGTGCTACATTAAGGCTGATAAGAATTCCCAACAGTGGGACCAACAATTTAATAGCAAGGCACTAGACCTGACTAGGCCGACCGTAGTTCAAGGCCACAGAAACTGGATCGTCATATTTCCATCAGAATCTCTCCCCCTGCTCCTGGTCCAGTTTTCTTGCGGGAGGCAAAGATCCACATTCACGGGTTCCGAACCCGCCTTTTTATCTTGCCCTTGCCAGGCTCAGTGGCTCAACTTACATCAGGGCACCACCACACCGACACCGGTTCGATAAGATTGCCTTCTCATTTGTGGCCTTGCATGTGGATGCTGTCTCCAGCGCGCCTTTTATCTCGCCGGACGTGCCCTTTTCCATCGAGGACTACTACTGTGCCTGTGACTCTACCTCGGCCCCCGACCTTCCATCACCTCCTGTCTACTCCATTGAGTCGGGAATTTTCGCCGTGTCTATCAGCTTCCACAGCATATAAGCCTCAAGGGCCCGTCGCAGTCCGCTACTTCTCGCATAGCCCTTTCCACTCGTCGATCATCCCCGCCAGTACCGAAGCAACAATGGGCTCTCTCGGACCGTATCAGCGCAAACACAAGATCACTGTGGTGGGCTCAGGAAACTGGTATGTGCAAGCTGGCTTTCCGTCATGGTGCTAGTGCCAGGGAAGAAGGAAAAGGCTGACTCGGGTCATGTATAGGGGATGCGCAATCGCCAAAATTGTCGCCGAAAATGCCGCCAGCAACCCCGCAATTTTCGAGGAGAAGGTTGAGATGTGGGTTTTTGAGGAGAAGGTGGAAATCTCCAAAGACTCCCGGCACTATGATCCCTCTTCACCGCTGTGCCAGGGCCCACAAAACCTGACGGATGTGATCAACCAAAAGCACGAGAACATAAAATACCTGCCAGGAATTACTCTCCCCTCCAACCTACATGCTAACCCGTCGTTGGTTGACGCAGTCAAGGATAGTACCATCCTTGTCTTCAACCTCCCCCACCAGTTTATCATCAAGACCTGTGAGCAGATCAAGGGCAAGATCCTGCCCTATGCGCGGGGTATCTCCTGCATCAAGGGTGTCGATGTGAACGAAGAAGGTATTCATCTCTTCTCCGAGACCATTGGCAAGATTCTGGGTATCTACTGCGGTGCTCTTTCTGGCGCGAACATTGCGAGCGAGGTAGCCCTGGAAAAATGGTCCGAGTCAAGCATTGCCTATGATCCTCCGCACATGGATTCCAAGGCGCCATCTCCCAATCGTTCCCCGTCTACGTCGACCGAGAATCTCGTTCAGTTCGAGCACAAGGATGTTTCCGGCCAACTATCACGAGTAAAGCTGCAAGCGCTGCCGTCCGACTACCCCCCTGTGGACCACGCCGTCCTGAAGTCGCTCTTCCATCGTCCGTATTTCCATATCCGTGTGGTGAGTGATGTCGCGGGTGTGTCGCTTGGAGGCGCCCTTAAGAACGTAGTTGCTCTTGCTGCCGGCTGGGTCGACGGCATGGGCTGGGGTGACAATGCCAAGGCTGCCATCATGCGGGTTGGCCTTCTCGAGATGGTCAAGTTTGGTGAAAAGTTCTTCGGGGCCACCATCAATACTCGAACCTTCACTGAGGAAAGTGCGGGTGTTGCCGATCTGATTACTAGCTGCAGCGGTGGCCGGAACTTTCGCTGCGCGAAACTCAGCATTGAGAGGAAACAGTCGATTGAGAAAGTCGAGGAGACGGAACTCAACGGCCAGAAGCTTCAGGGTACTTTGACTGCGGTTGAGGTAAACAACTTCCTGAAGAAGCAAGGCCTTGAGGAGGAATTTCCCTTGCTTACGGCTGTGTACCGTGAGTAACCCAGTTCCTTTTCCCTTTATCTTGGTTTTTTGCCATCGATGTACTGACCATAAAACAGGTGTTCTCGAGGGCAGTATGTCCGTTGGAGATATTCCTTCTTACATTGAGCGGTAAATTGGACCTGTTGATCCTCTCCTTTGGTTTATGTTCGGGTTGTTAATTTAGGGAAATCTGTTCCTTTTGTGTCTTGACAGAAAGCCGGAGTCTATCTCTTACGTTGAAACCGGGCGGGTGACCAGCAGTGGAACCAGCCAGGCAGTCTTGAGCGCCAGGTTGTGATCGGGGGCAGGATTCATGCATTACCCCCTCCTCTTGTGTTTTCCCCATCCTTGTCACTTTCTTTCCTTTCTTTTCACCACCTTGTTTGTCTTTATCACCATCTATCTTTTGGGGGAAGCGTCTGTTGGTAGGTATACTTTGTCGAGATTTTCTCATGCACATAGACCGATGACTATAGACCGCAATGACACCGGAATGTCTGAATATTCTTCAATCCCATCACATCCACGCCAGTAATGAGCTGTACAATTGCCAGATCATCAATGGCCTGACCGGGGGCCATGAGGGGAGGCCAGCAGGGAAAGAGGAGGCGTGCGGAGGCCCGTGTTCTCGCCCGGGCCGTTCCAGCCCGCGCTCTCTTTCATGATGTCAGTGATCCCGCGGGGTTGCCCTGAACCTCCCAGGAACAGGAAACCTTGGTCGGCCTTGCTTCTCCTCCAGTTGTTCTTTTGCTCATAAATAGCCAGCGACCTCTGCGCCGTGGCTACACGGGTTGTCTGTGCTTCTACTTTCCAGGAGGACACCCTGCCTTTATACCCATTCATCTCCGTTCCTTGGTTAGTCTGGCCGGCAATTCACCAAGAATAGCGCCGCTAGGCTCACCATTGTCACGAAGTCTAGTCGAAGCTCTATCCCCACGCTCCCCTAATCGTGACGGCTAGTATCATTCGAGCTCACAATGTCCTCTCCACAGCAGGTTTATCTGCTGCCTCTGAAGGATGATGGATCGCCCGATGTTCCTGGAGGATATATCTACCTCCCTGCTCCCACTAACCCGCCATACTTACTCCGGTTTGTCATTGAAGGCAGCAGCTCAATCTGCAGAGAGGGTGCTTTATGGGTGAACATCCCTGAGAAGGGCGAGTCTTTCAATCGGTCTGCTTTTCGAAGCTTCAGGTAAGCGAAATAAATGGCCACAATTTAATCAGCATTTGACCTTTCCGATAAAATTAGCCTATCCCCGGACTTCAACAAGAACATTCAGATCGATGTCCCCATCACCTCTGCTGGTTCTTTCGCCTTCTATGTGACCTTCTCCCCGCTTCCTGAGTTCTCCGTTCTATCAACACCCACCCCAGAGCCAACAAGGACTCCAACCCATTATATCGATGTCTCACCCAAGTTGACTCTTCGCGGTCAAGATCTCCCGCTCAATGCCCTCTCTATATACTCTGTGATCTCTAAGTTCATGGGCCAGTATCCCAAGGAGTGGGAGAAACACCTCAACGGTATAAGCCAGCGTAATTACAATATGGTTCATTTCACGCCCTTGATGAAACGCGGAGCTTCCAATTCACCTTATAGCATCTTTGATCAACTACAATTTGATGACGCCGTGTTCCCCAATGGTGAAGACGATGTTGCGCGTCTGATATCTAAGATGGAGAATGAATATGGACTTCTGTCGCTTACGGATGTTGTATGGAACCACACCGCCCATAACAGCAAATGGTTGGAGGAGCACCCAGAAGCCGGCTACAGTGTCGAAACTGCCCCATGGCTTGAGGCAGCACTGGAGCTGGACACTGCGCTGCTGAAATTCGGACAGGATCTCCAAAACCTTGGGCTGCCGACCGAGTTTCAAACTGTGGACGAATTGATGAAAGTCATGAATGTTATGCGGGACAAGGTCATCGCTGGAATACGACTATGGGAATTCTACGCCATTGATGTGAAGAGTGACACACATAAAATACTCGACAAATGGAAAACATCCAAAGACATAGATCTAACAGACACGAACTGGGCGCAACTCAATCTTCAAGACTACAAAAACTGGACTTTGAAGCAACAAGCAACCTTCATCCGAGACCATGCTATACCTACTTCGAAACAGGTCTTGGGCCGGTTCAGCAGAGCTGTTGATTTGCAGTTTGGGGCAGCCATACTAACAGCACTTTTCGGTCCACATAATCCTTCGACGTCCGATACTAGTATAGTCGAGGAAAGTCTCTCTAAAATACTCGACGAGGTCAATCTTCCATTCTACGAGGAGTATGATGGCGATGTCTCGGAAATTATGAATCAAGTCTTCAACCGGATAAAATATTTACGGATTGATGACCATGGACCCAAGCTCGGCGCCGTCACGGCACAAAGCCCATTGATCGAAACGTACTTCACAAGGCTGCCTCTGAACGATGTTACCAAGAAGCACAAGAAAGAGGCGCTGGCGCTGGTCAACAATGGCTGGATATGGAACGCTGATGCTCTGCGGGACAATGCGGGGCCCGACTCCAGGGCTTATCTGCGACGTGAAGTAATCGTCTGGGGTGATTGCGTGAAGCTGAGATATGGCAGCTGTCGTGACGATAATCCTTTCCTCTGGGATTTCATGACAGACTATACTCGGCTCATGGCCAAATATTTCTCAGGGTTCCGCATCGACAATTGCCATTCGACACCATTGGTGGTTGCCGAGTATCTGCTAGACGAGGCACGCAAAGTTCGACCCAATCTGACTGTTTTCGCGGAACTATTTACTGGCTCGGAGGAAGCTGATTATATATTTGTCAAACGTCTCGGCATAAATGCGCTCATTCGTGAGGCCATGCAAGCTTGGAGTACAGGGGAACTAAGTCGTCTTGTTCATCGTCATGGCGGACGCCCGATTGGTAGTTTCGATCTTGACTTGCCCTCTTCAGGCAGTAGTCATGCAATAGCTTCTTCTGGTCTTGACTCCGGCAAAGAAAAAGTTGTTCATATTCGGCCTACACCAGTTCAGGCCTTATTCATGGATTGCACTCATGACAACGAGATGCCCGCGCAGAAGAGAACCGCCAAAGATACTCTGCCAAATGGGGCTCTGGTAGCTATGTGTGCCTCAGCCATTGGCAGCGTCATCGGCTATGATGAAGTATATCCTCGGCTTGTCGATCTCGTCCATGAGCATCGGCTATACTTCTCTGAATTCTCAGAGGCCCCCGAGACTGGTCTGAACTCTCTCGAAGGGGGGATTGGAGGCATCAAAAAGCTACTCAATGAGCTTCATACCAAGATGGGTATTGAAGGTTATGACGAGACGCACATTCATCATGACGGTGAGTATATCACTGTGCACAGGGTGCATCCCAGAACACGGAAAGGTGTTTTCTTGATTGCACATACGGCGTTTCCTGGTCAAGATAGCAGATCTGTACTTGCGCCTACACATCTTGTCGGTACTCAGGTCAAGCATATCGGGACGTGGCTCTTGGAAGTGGATACAAGCCAAACTACCAAGGAGCGGATACAAGCAGACAAGTCCTACCTACGGGGCCTGCCAAGCCAAGTCAAAACGTTTGAAGGTACCAAGATCGAGGAGTCTGGCAAAGATACCATCATATCCGTTTTGAATTCTTTTGTTGCCGGGTCTATTGCGTTGTTTGAAACATCCATGCCGAGTGTTGAACATGCAAGTGGACTGGACAATTACATCACCGAAGGCGTGGATCATGCATTCTCGGATCTTAGCTTAGTCGATCTAAACTTCGCGCTTTACCGCTGCGAAGCTGAAGAGAGAGATTCGAGTAAGGGCCAGGACGGGGCTTACGACATCCCCGGCCATGGCCCCTTGGTCTATGCCGGTCTACAGGGGTGGTGGAGCGTGCTTGAGAACATCATCAAATACAATGAACTAGGCCACCCACTGTGTGATCACCTGCGAAACGGACAGTGGGCTCTGGACTATATTGTGGCTCGCCTGGAGAAGTTGAGCCACAAGGAAGAGCACCCTGCCCTTGGCAGGCCGGCTGCATGGCTGCAGGAGAAGTTCCAGGCCGTTCGTCAGCTGCCAAGCTTTCTTTTACCCCGGTACTTTGCGATAATCGTTCAGGTTGCCTACAATGCCGCCTGGAAGCGAGGGATTCAACTGCTGGGACCGCATATACAAAAAGGGCAAGAATTCATTCATCAGTTAGGTATGGTGAGCGTCCAACAAACTGGATATGTGAATTCGGCGTCTTTGTGGCCCACAAAGAAGGTACCCAGTCTTGCAGCTGGCCTTCCGCATTTTGCGGTAGACTGGGCGAGATGCTGGGGCCGCGACGTGTTCATCTCACTCAGAGGCCTCCTTCTGTGCACAGGTCGCTTTGAGGATGCCAAAGAGCACATAACGGCATTTGCAAGTGTACTGAAACATGGCATGATCCCGAATCTTCTGAGCAGTGGGAAGCTCCCGCGCTACAATTCTCGGGATTCTGTATGGTTCTTCCTGCAATCCATCCAGGATTACACTGAAATGGCACCAGATGGACTGGAAATTCTCGATCATAAGGTTCCCAGACGTTTTCTACCATACGACGATGTATGGTTCCCGTTTGATGATCCGAGGGCCTACTCGCAACAGTCAACGATATCCGAAATAATTCAGGAGGTCTTCCAGCGACACGCACAAGGACTCTCCTTCAGAGAATACAACGCCGGGCCTGACCTTGATATGCAGATGACACAGGATGGTTTCCAGATTGATGTCAAAGTCGACTGGGAAACAGGGCTGATATTCGGTGGTAGCCAATACAATTGCGGGACATGGCAGGACAAGATGGGTGAGAGCGCGAAAGCGGGTAACAAAGGCGTACCTGGGACACCACGAGACGGGGCAGCAATCGAGATAACCGGGCTAGTGTACAGCGCCTTGACTTGGGTTGCTAAATTGCACGAGCGTGGCATTTACAAACATGATGGAGTTGACATTGGAGGTGGGAAATCCATCTCTTTCGAAGATTGGGCGTCAAGAATTCGGGCCAACTTCGAACGCTGTTACTATGTTCCTCTACAGCCAAAGGACGATGGCCAATACGACATCGACGCAAACATCATCAATAGAAGGGGGATTTACAAGGACCTGTACAGGTCTGGTAAACCATACGAGGACTACCAGCTTCGTTCCAACTTCCCGATAGCCATGACCGTCGCTCCAGACCTGTTTACTGCCTCCAAAGCACTTGCAGCTCTGGCTCTTGCCGACGAGGTCCTGGTCGGGCCAGTGGGAATGGCCACTCTGGATCCCTCCGACCTCAATTACCGCCCTAACTACAATAATTCCGAGGACTCGACCGATTTTGCAACCGCCAAAGGGAGAAATTACCACCAAGGTCCTGAGTGGGTTTGGCAGCGTGGGTACTTCCTCCGCGCCTTTTTGCACTTCGACCTTGCTCGCAGGACGACACCGGCGGAACGGACGGAGACATACCAACAGATTACTCGACGCTTGGAGGGTTGCAAGCGGGCTTTGAGGGAAAGTCCATGGAAGGGCCTTACCGAACTAACGAATAAGAATGGTGCCTACTGTGCAGATTCCGTAAGTCCCGATGCCCTCCCCTCTCTCTGTCTCTTTATCGTGCCGATCAATCTTCGCTAACCTTATACAACTCTATAGTCACCCACCCAAGCATGGTCAGCTGGATGTCTGCTTGATTTGTATTATGATGCATCAAGACATTCACAGAGCTGACTAGCGTGTTGTTGATACAATTTTCTATCTTGATCTAGCGAAGATCATCATGAGTTCGAATTAGATATATGTTTGTCCAAACTTAGTTAATGGAAATAGCTTTTATGTGCTGGCATGATCCTTACTCGTATGACGCCGGGCCGTCTGCCGTTGTGGAAGACCGCATAAAAAACGGTCGCTGAGTAAGCCACGTGCACAACTCATCGCCAACTAGAACGAGACGAGACTAGTACTTTTGAGTTTGGGTTCGTCAACATGTGTTTTAGCAAGCGATGCCCGACTCGGGTCCAATTTGCCGTTCCTAGCGCGGAGATTGCGGTGTAGAGTGTTTGTATCGGTGTCGCCTGACTTCTCCAGTTCAGCTTTTCGTGTCCAAGCAACATCCCCCAGGTCGCGAGCCCGTTTACTATCTATTGCGTGGCCCTGACCCCTGACGTCAGTTGTTTTTGACCTACGCATCCTCCCGAGCACAAACGTTTCCGAATGCATTGACAAAGCCGAACATCAATCACTACATCTCCGGTGCAGAACATCTGCTTTTCGAGCGTCATGTCTCTCACGGAATCCGCCGCGGCAGCTATGCTGACCGCCGCGGTCGTGGTAGACAGTCCCATTGACGTGCATGAGCCTAGATGGGATGACCAGACCAGGGGTCGGGATTTGTACACACAACTAGTGATCAGTTTGCTGGTCGGGCTCAGCGCCTTTTTTTCATTCTGTGTAAGTCTATGCTGAATGCAAGAATGAAACGAATCTCTCTAACAACTCGCGTCTCTATAGATTTTACGACCGAAATGGACCGAACTATACGCCGCTCGGCGTCGTCAACGCAACGCGGCTTCATACTTGCCCGAACTACCCGACAGTTTCTTTGGCTGGATACCCGTACTATATCGGATCACTGATGAGCAGGTGTTGGAGTCTGCAGGCTTGGACGCTTTCGTTGTAAGTTCTACATGTTGTCTTGGTCGCGGACTAGATGTCAGAATCGGCCATTTTCTGACGTGGGGTCGTTATCCTAGTTCCTCACCTTCCTGAAATTCGCCATTCGGTTCCTCTCCGCTATATTCTTCTTCGCCTTGGTAATCATTCTACCAACACACTACAAGAATACCGGCAAATCGGGGGTTCCGGGTTGGGATGACGACGATGACGAGACATTCGATGGAGACAAAGACAAGAAGAAACTCATATCGGATCCGAATTACTTGTGGATGTATGTCATTTTTACATACATTTTCACTGGGCTTGCTGTCTACATGCTCATCCAAGAGACCAATAAGGTTATCCGCACGAGGCAGAAATACCTTGGAAGCCAGACCAGTACGACCGATCGGACTATTCGCTTATCTGGGATCCCTCCGGATTTGGGAACAGAGGAGAAGATCAAGGATTTCATGGAAGGTCTCAAAGTGGGCAAGGTTGAGAGTGTCACACTATGTCGTGACTGGCGCGAATTAGACCATTTAATCGACGAACGACTGAAACTGCTGCGAAATCTTGAGCGGGCCTGGACTAGACATCTAGGCTACAAACGGGTTAAGGCAAGTCCGAACGCATTGACCATGATGCACCAGCAGCCGCGTGGCTCCAGTATTGTTTCAGATGGAGATAGTGAGCGAATCCAGCTTCTTTCTGAAGGAGGGCGCGACCACGTTACGGACTATGCACACAAGCGGCCGACAGTGCGCATTTGGTATGGGCCTTTCAAGTTACGCTACAAGAACATCGATGCGATCGATTACTATGAGGAGAAGCTGCGTCGTCTCGACGAGAAAATTCAGGTTGCTCGTCAAAAGGAATATCCTCCTACCGAGGTTGCCTTCGTAACGATGGAGTCGATCGCCGCGTCTCAGATGGTTGTACAGGCCATCCTTGATCCTCACCCCATGCAACTACTCGCTAGACTGGCTCCAGCTCCAGCTGATGTCGTGTGGAAAAACACATATCTCCCGCGCTCGAGGCGGATGATGCAATCCTGGTTCATCACTGTGGTCATTGGCTTCCTGACTGTATTCTGGTCGGTGCTTTTGATTCCCGTTGCCTATCTGCTTGAGTACGAGACTCTCCACAAGGTGTTCCCTCAATTGGCCGACGCCCTTGCTCGGAACCCACTTGCCAAGTCCCTTGTGCAGACTGGTCTGCCGACCTTGGTTCTCTCGCTGTTGACTGTCGCTGTGCCTTATCTCTATAACTGTAAGATGGTTCCCAACGTTAACTTTTTGTCTACTCACGCGCTAAATTGTCAACAGGGCTCTCGAACCAACAAGGCATGATGTCTCGGGGTGACATTGAGCTGTCGGTAATTTCGAAGACCTTCTTCTTCTCTTTCTTCAACCTCTTCCTCGTCTTTACGGTATTCGGAACCGCGACGACATTCTACGGGTTCTGGGAGAATCTCCGAGATGCCTTCAAAGATGCAACGACCATAGCCTTTGCATTGGCCAAAACTCTGGAAAACTTTGCTCCTTTTTATATCAACTTCCTATGTCTTCAAGGAATAGGATTGTTCCCGTTCCGACTCCTTGAGTTTGGAAGTGTTGCCATGTATCCCATCAACTTCCTGGCCGCTAAGACGCCTCGAGACTATGCTGAGCTATCCACACCCCCTACATTCAGCTACGGGTATTCCATTCCGCAGACGGTCCTAAGTCTTATCATCTGTGTGGTATACAGCGTGTTCCCTAGCTCATGGTTGATATGCCTGTTTGGATTGATTTACTTCACAATCGGCAAGTTCATCTACAAGTATCAGCTTCTGTACGCGATGGATCATCAGCAGCATTCGACGGGACGAGCGTGGCCGATGATCTGCAGCCGAATCTTGATGGGCTTGATGGTTTTCCAGCTGGCGATGATCGGCGTGCTAGCCTTACGCCGGGCTATCACCCGCTCTCTGCTCATCGTCCCTCTCCTTATGGCAACCGTATGGTTCAGCTACTTCTTTGCCCGGACCTATGAGCCTCTTATGAAATTCATCGCTTTGAAGAGCATTGACCGCGAGCGGCCTGGCGGGGGGGATATCTCTCCGTCCCCGTCGTCGACCTTCTCTCCTCCGTCCGGCCTCGACCGCGATTCTTTTCCGATCCGGATTGGTGGACAAGAACTCGGACTACGGCTGAGGAAGTATGTCAACCCAAGCCTGATCCTGCCTCTTCATGATGCATGGCTTCCGGGACGCACGATGGTTCCAGAGCTTCAGGGAGAACTGGAGCATCGCAATCCTGGAAACAATGCGGCCGATGAGTCCGTCTGAGACTGCATCAAAGGCGCCAAAGTGGATTGCTTTCAAAACATCACAAGTCAATCGATCTCTATCATTGTCTATATATGTATTACTTTCTAATTACCCCTTGTTGTATGAGTTGCTTTTTCCCGCCATGATCTACGATGCCATGCCTTTGATGTCATAGATGGCCATATACGCCTGATAGTCTTACACCCTCGAGGTGAGACGGTCGATTTTATGCGCTGCAATTTTCACGCGATCAGATTTAGATGTCACTCATCTTTGTTGATAATGGTTTCCTTATCTCTCGTTTATTGATACCAGAGGCCTTCCTGTAGGAGGTTTCATTCGACGCATTGATGCCAATATAGCTTGCATGTACTATCACTTTAGGTACTTTAGGGAGGATTCCTGATGCTCTTGTTAATATTTGCCATTAATGAACCGCGTAACGTGGGGTGTTCTGATTCCTTGCCAACTACCGTATCAGGATGAGGAAGTACCCCACGGAGCTGATTATGTGACACTACCAGGTCCCACCACTCCTTCCTAATATTTTCCCCCGGCTATTTCCCTCAAAAAGTGGCATTGATATGCCGAATATAAAACCAAGCATATTCACATACACCTATGTACACATAACTACTAGAATGTCTTGACAGCGCCGTCCATCAGCGAGGTCATCAGATGCGGAAATTACATGCGAGGCAATCTTGTTCGAAATTACAACTGACATCGGTTGACGCTCAGTTCTTCTTTTCACGCAGCCATCAATACAATGAGCTCTCAGCCAGGGACAAATTGCACTGTTGTGATGTGTGAATGGGTACAACGGCATGCTTTCAGGTTTAGGTCTCGGATAAGAAGTCCAATCGAACTGAGCAGTAAGCAGTCCAGTCATGAGGTAGAGCAGTTCGTCCATCGCTCCTGCCCGGAAGGTCCGAAAACATTGTCATCGCTTGTCTTTCTTCCGCTAGAAGACCTGCTGTTACTACGGATATCCCAGGAAGTTGGACGGGTTGACGGAGTGGTAGAACTGGTTGTTCAATCGTCCACCCATTCTGTCCGGGTTTGGGCCTCAGTGAACCGGGCCAAACAAGATTCATCGATGTTGATACTCGCCTGGTTGTCGATATTCCCTATAAAGTTGTCTGCGTTGGATACGACGGCGATATTACGTCAACAGACTCTGTTGATGTAAAAACATCACGAGCACAAAGGACGATAATTATTCGCAAACGGAAGCATCACTCTTTGGCAGATTTTGGTGGGCAGCCTTCGAGGGCTCGTTGGCTTCAGGATATCATTCTAGAAGAGGTCGAGCCGTCACGGCTGGCCCAGCTTGAAGCAGGCTCGTATGAGATGCATCGGTACTTATACATAGATCCTTCCTATCTTGACCTTGAGACTCCCGAGCGAATTTCTCCCGGGGAAAAATTGTGTAGGATGGTGGATATAATGTAGCCTGGGGTGTCGGTTGTCTTTATAGTATATAGCCCATTGTTCTTCTTTCCTGTCTTGGAGTTCCTTCATTGGTAATAGCGCAGATTGTACTTGACATGGGTTTTGCTGGTCTTCACTTGCTTTTCAGACTGAATACTGGATTCAATTGATGGGAATTCAAGTATATTCTAAGTCAATTAATCTGGATACTCAACAATGCTAGTTCTATTACCGTCATCACAGTGTTTAAGATACTGACGGCTGTGTTTTTAAGACACGTAAGCCAGGGACCATGAGTATCTTCAAAGCTTGAGACCTTCTGTCAAGGTATCGTTGAAGTACCCCAATGATATAAGGCTGACATCTGTCCCATTATATATGAAATCCCACAATACTATCCATACATAATTTAGGAGCCACGAAATAATTAGCCTCACCGAAATCCTAGAATAAAAACGTGTACTACAATCCGAAAGAAATAGAATAGAATATCGGAAAGACATCACTTTTTCATCTCATCCAAAAAAACAAACAAAAAAAATGAATCAACAACCGCTAGAAAAATCCGATCCCTTAATCAACCCATGCGTCGAGTGAACAATAATGGTATGACTGAGCATAACGTGTTGAACCCATATAGGAGCAAATGATAACAGCAATGCAGAGAGAAAAGAAAAAGAGGGTCAAATCCCAACTGGCGACCGATTTATTGGGAGTTGCCGTTGCCATTGATAGCAAGCTTTTCCCGGCGGGTGCGCACAGCCTGTGCCAGGTTCTCCAGAACAAGTTCCGTGTCTTCCCAGTGGATGCAGGCGTCGGTGATACTGACACCGTACTTGAGGCCGGCCTTGCCCTCGGGAGGAACCTTTTGGTTGCCTGTTGTGGTGATGTTAGTGGGATGGTGTGATGGAAGGTGTTGGGTTGGGGGGAGGGAAAAAAGGTAGAACATACCCTCGTTGATGTTGCTCTCGATCATGACACCCATGATGGCGGTCTCTCCAGCGGCGATTTGCTCGGCCAGAACAGCAGCCACCTTGGGCTGGTTCTTGTGGTTCTTCTGCGAGTTACCGTGGCTGCAGTCGACCATGAGGCGGGGAGGCATGCCCTGGGCGGTCAGCTTGGCCTTAGCCTCGGCGATGCTCTGGGCATCGTAGTTGGGGCCCTTCTTGCCACCACGGAGGATGACGAAGCAGTCGGGGTTGCCCACGGTGCCGACGATAGCAGCGACACCGGGCTTGGTGACGGACAGGAAGTGGTGAGGGTGCTTGACGGAGCCAATGGCATCGACAGCGACATCCAGGGAGCCGTCGGTACCGTTCTTGAAACCAACGGGGAAGGACAGACCCGAGGCCAACTCACGGTGGACCTGGGACTCGGTGGTGCGAGCACCAACGGCGCCGACGGAGAGACAGTCGGCCAGAAACTGGGGGGAGATGGTATCGAGCATCTCACTGGCGATGGGCATACCCTTGTTGGTCAGGTCGACGAAAAGTTGACGGGAGGTGCGAAGACCCTTGTTGATCTTGAAGCTGTTGTCAATGTCGGGGTCGTTGATGAGACCCTTCCAGCCGACGGTGGTACGGGGCTTCTCGAGGTAGGAGCGCATGACAATCAGCAGCTCATCCTTGTACTTCTCCTTCATCTTCATGAGGCGATCGCAGTATTCGAGGGCCATTTCAGGGTCGTGGATGGAGCAGGGACCGATGACAACCAGCAAACGGCGACGGTCGGTGTCTGTGCCCTGGACGATAGCAATAGCCTCCTCACGACCTTCCATGACCGTTCGCCGGGACTTCTCCGTCATGGCGATCTCATGCTGAAGGAGGTTGGGGGGTGTGAGAGGGTTGTATCCACGAACTGTAGAGGAAAAGAGAAACCGAGGGTTAACGGGTGACGGAATTTTGCAAGTGAGTCACGGGCGCACTTACTTCTGGAATCCTCGAGGGAGCATCTGTCCCCGACATTAGGGTTTTCAATGAAGAACTGGAGGCATCATGAGTATTAACATTGCCATTGAGAGGGTTGAGATGCTGGAAGAAGCAAAAACATACCGACATGGTGGTGCGGCGGGGTAACAAGTGGACTGACGGAGGGGCAGAAAGAGAAGGAGAGGCGATAAAGTCGCAGCTTAGATAGGTAGATAGTATGCCCGACGGGAGGTATGGATGAGTAAGTCAAAGGGAAGATCGGTTCAGTGGATTGGATCGATGAGAGCTTAATGGTAGATTGATATCTTGAGATTTCGAGATTGCAACCGGGTGGAATCACAACGAATATATAGGAAAGATGTATGAGAGAAGAATCACTGGAATTGTCTCCTTGCAGAGTCTCTCAAAAAGCAAAAGCCAGGAAAAAAAAAGTACTATTTCTTTGGCAGTGTCGAGTCATTCCTGCCTCATTGGGTAATCGACACGTGATATGCCGGTGAGCGGACGAATGGGGCGAGGTCCAAAAAAGCGCCTCGCCCGCGGTATCGCCTGCCATTGGCCTACCCTCCCCATTCGTCGTCTCTCATTCCTTCTCTTCCTGCTCGGATCAGCATGAAGGATACTCCGTAGTCCGTCATCCGCTATCCCGTACCACATGCCCGAGGTATCGCCCGGCGTTGGATGGTCAGCCTTAGCAATAGATGACGCCCCTGAGGCTGCCAGTACGACCTGGATTGGGGGCGGAAACCTTGTATATAGTTTCGGATCATCCTGGCTCGGAGGCTACGTTGGCACTAATCTCTCTCTGGATCTGGGTTTCGCCCCTTGAGTGTTGCAGAATACGAATTGCAGATACGACTAGCCGTTGCTGTAAGAAATAAGTACAGAGTCATCGCCCGAGCAAAGATGAGACTTCACTGTTGAAGTGTATACTATCCGGATCCGAGTCAGCCCGGACCGGAAACCTCATCAAGTCGGAGCATCAGAAGCTGAGATGATGAGGCCTAGCTTCAGGTCATTTCCTCATCTGCATTCGATCCCGAAGCTGCTGCTCGTCCCGCTCTAGACGCTGCATCAACTCCTGGCATACTTCGGTATGGTGTTCGCGAATGGAATTCATCTGTTGCTGGCACAATCTTATCCGCTCTTCTTGGGCTTCAAAGAGCTGATCCAGGACCCGGTGACAATCTCGCCGATACATCTCTAAGACTTCGTTGATAGTCTTTTTCTCGCTTTCAATTTCTTGGATTATATGCTTGCAGCCAATTCAGTATGAACGCTTGGAATCCCCACGGGATGTCGCCTACCTCGCTTGTCGCAAGAAGCATGCTTTGCGCTCTTTTGTGAAGCACCTGCAGGGATGTCTGCCAGCTGGTGTGCTCCAGGACACCATCTGCGGTGGTACTTGGCTTCTGCGAACATGACTGCGCCGATAATTGGTCTGGGACTACTGTCGACCCAGGTAGGGAGTTGCATGTCGCATGAGGCTCGTTATCGCGTTCCAATGTCAAATGTGCATTTGGACTCGATCGTGCGGGATTTCTAAGCGGGGTCTTGTTTGATGTAGGTTTACCTGTACATGCCATTAGACGATCCTGGAAGGTCAGTACTTCCTTCACTTGTTTCGTGCAGGTTCCGGAATGTTTCGATCCTGAAATTACGTTTCGCTCGCAAAAAGCAGGTAGTTCGTCATTTTGTGCACCATTTTTACCATCCTTCATGATCCCCCGAACGTGCTCGCTGGTGGAGGACCTGTCTCCCGCGCCTGACATTTCTCGAGGATTTCCGTCCACGTCGGCCCTACCACCCATGTATCCGCTTTTGATGTGGTATAGAAGGCGAGGGCTCCCATCAGCATCCACTATAGTTGATCGGGGGGTGTTTCTCAATCGCTTTGTGGGATTCCAGTGATGTTTGCGAACCAACCGCCTAGAGTCTTCCCTGAAAGCATTTTCTGAAGCATGGTCCCCTGTAATTGGGTCATCTCGCATATAGTCTGGACTGAGCGCAGCTATCTTTCTCTTCACTGGCCTAGCCCGCGGACTTTTCATGCCCTCGGATGTGGTCTGAGGCATGTCGGAAGTGCAAGTATTATGCGCGGCCCCGAGGCTCTCCTTGCACATTTCAAAGGGAAATTCTTCATGAGAACGACTTTCCCCTACACACAATGGACTTGAGTCAGCGGAGCCACCTGATTGGGTCAACATCTTTGGCTCCTCGTTGTCAATCTTGAAGGAGCTGCTCCTGCTCGTATGCCTTTGGACAGAACATTCTGCATGAAGATCATCCTCAATTTTGCTCGTGAATTGCTCGTTTGGTGTTTCTAAGGGCAATACCCCATCATAGATGGTATATCGCTCTATGACAGACTCCGTGATGTCGTGCTGTCCCTGTATTCCACCGTCACACACGGACACATATAATGTGTCTGACAAATCGAGCTCATTTTCGTTTGCTAGCTTATTATGGGTCTGTATATGCTCTAAGCTGTTTTCCTTATGCCCGCCATGGCCTGCTGAGGGGTAGCCTTGCTGGAAAGCTGCAGACAGCTTGTACCCCACTACACGGCCCCTACCTTGAAGTCCTTGTGCGGTCGGATGACACTTAGGAGTATTCATCTGATTGTTATTATCACCCGTCACACTTGTAGATAGCTCCGAATAACTTTCATTTTTCCCGGAAGCTTGAATTCGAAGCGATCTGGTGCGATCATCATTGTGTTGTGGTGCAGCAGAGTCACATCCGACGATGGCATTATCAGAGACGAGCTCGACATGAGCACTTTTGGCCATGGCACGTCCATTTCTTTCTCTCGAACAAGGTATCAGTTTCCCTATTATGTCATCATCTGATAGTGTGTGCCCTGGCTTATGGTTGGGGTTGTCAGCATCTTCTGTAAATGCTGATGCTGGTGTCGCTTTCTTGGTATTGTTTTCATTCTTTCTTGTTGGGCGAGAAGATACTATCTTCTTGCGCTTTGTGGCTAGCTTCCTCCCTCTGGCTGCTCTCTTCTTGCCTGGAGCTGCCGAACGACTGCCGACAAAGGACGTCTCACCGGGCAAGGGGGAAGAAATTGAAGTTACCTCCGCATCCTTAAAAGGCCGTTCCACTTCATCGTCACTAGGTCGGAGATCCTCGTCCCAGTCGACAGCAGCTTTGGAATTGGCTATATATACCTTCTGCTTGGAATGTCGCGTATAGATGACCATAGACTCTTGAGTATTCGATAGAGGGTCTCTCCGTCTATTCCCACTTTGCAAGCGACTTGATCTTCTTCTTCCGGTATCTGGATTTGGTGCAAGTCTACCATATGGTTTTCTCGGTACTCCTTTGGACAGTGATGGGTTTGATAATGGCACTGGAGGTTCACCTGCGTAATTTGTTCGCTGACACTCTTGCTGAGAGCCATTACGTTCCAAATGAACATCATCCAGATTCGCATTCGTGGTATTGCACTTCTCGAGCTCTTCTGAGTGTTTCTCCAACTCTTTGACAGACTTTTGTATCAAAATGGGACCTGTGCGGGGTCCCTCCTGCCCCTGTGTGTTGTTAGGTGAGATCCCAGAAGATTTTCTTGCAACTTCATCGCTCGTATCCAGTTCCATCACCATTGAAGATGTCCGAAATATACCATCCGTATTTATAGACCCCTGATCATTCTGACAGAATGCCTCGATGGCATTCCGCAAATCACCAGGATCTTTATCGGATAAGATGCTTAAAACATGGCCTTCGAAGCATAGCCGTCTGCCATTTTTCACGACCAGCTTATTCTGGGAAAGGACTAATTTCAGACAATATATCATAGATTTGTCCACAACCGTGCGCACGGGTAGACCGATGCTCTGAGTGTAGAAATCAACGTATTCTAGGCACATTCTCGTTGTGTTCTGTCTATAGGTGATGAATGTCAAACACCCCTCATCGATTATGGCAAGGACAGTTCCTTCGAACAATGGTGTCTCGTCGATGTGAAGTGACTGAAGAAGAAAGCAGCGTCGGAGGTAGGAAGTCTTATCTACCACTTCCGATACAACGGCCATGTTGGATAAGGTGTAAAAGTGCTGTAGCGGATCATTTCTATAGGAAGGTAAAGTATCGAAGAACCTGACTCTGTCCGTGCTACTGTCGGATTTCCAGAGTGCTTCGTCGCTTACTCCCGAGTTATGTAGCGCATGGATCATGATAGTCGCGAGCAGTTTCAGAGTACAGTTTCCATTGAGGATGACGTACGAAAGCCTGGTGAGCGCTTCGCATTAGCACAGATAACATCGCTCACATAGAAGCGTATAATACCGTGACAATTCCACTTCTTCTGATTCAAGGAAGAAGGCGTCATTATGCTCTGGCTCCGAAAGTATCTCCAGAAACATTTTGCCAGCCTGTTCACATGAGAATCAATAGAACCAGTTATTGTCTTGGTCTCACCAATTTCCGTAGCCATGTAGCTTGGCCTTCAGTGGAAAACAAGAGGTATAGCTTGCTCAATATCCTTCTCTGAAGCAAGCGGGGCCTGTCCTCAATTCTTGGGCTTGCTACTTGATATACCATGTGCCCTGAGTCTCTCATGTATTGCGGTTCATCCTATAGAAAGCATTAGAGAGCGGAGAGGTGCATACATAGGTAGCTAGCAGACCAGCAGCAGGTAAATTCCATTCTTCAGCCCGTTATCTACGTCTGAGTTGAGCAATAGGTATGCCAGACAACGCAGTGAAGAGCGATCAAGCGCCTGAGTTATACGCTTTGATTCCCGTTTCAGGATGGACAGTAATTGGTGTATGTTGCGATTATCGACCTTTGACTCATGATGTAGCAAGGCCTGAATCAACTGGTTTGAGAATGTATAAAGGCGCGGATCACGCAGGAGACAAGTATAATAAGGCTTCGAAATCGGGGATTTATCCTCAGTGTCACCTCCAACGTTCGTTACACAGGCCAGCTGCGAGGCTAACTCTGAGATGCAAGCCCATTGTGATTCTTCCTGAGATGCATTAATAAGAAAAGACGTCATTTTGCTTGCTGAGGGTCAATATATTGTGGAGCGTTATAGACTCGCAGTGGCAGTTGATGGGAGCTACGTATTCAGCGACTGCGTGTAAATGGATCACATGATGGTGTATTTGCACTTGACCGAAATGGCATCTTTCAATGTTTGTCAACGAAATCGCCTATTTCCAGTTTCCCTGTTTGGTCTACAGCATTCAGATACTTGACAGTGTTAGCAACGCCCATCAAGCAAGTCATTGACCTTAAATATCTCTTCCAATATAAGCGAACAATGTTAGAAGGCTAGATACCTGAAGACCGCTTATTTCTCGTTCATTTCATATGTTATTTTTGTACTCCCACAGACGGTAAGCTGCATGAATTTTTCCAACACTTAAGTGCTATTAGAAGACTGCTGACATTCATCAAGGCTGGAGGCGGACTTTCATGATTTGCAGGCTCCGAAATATGGTACGCACTTTGCCCTCTGGCTCACAATGACGAAGTCAAATACTACAATAGGCCAATTACCTTCCTATGATACTGCGCAGGAAGGTTTGCGTACAGCTAGCGGAAGATGAAGAGCCCTTATTCAAGATGAAGTTGGGTGGAAATAAGCATTTACGATAAGAAGTTCACAAATGACAACCAGCATAAGCTCCGCTTCGCTTCCGCAGGCCCCTAATCAGCCCCGACTTTGATTAGCTAGATATCGCGCGATAGTGCGCTAGCAAGCACAATACTTCCACTGGGAAGTATATCAATATCATATGCTCCCAGGTCCCCAGAAGCTCTCAGATTCACCGTCGAACATGCTGGATGGTAACGGATGGAGAATCCCCTGGGATTAGTGGATATTGGTAAGCCGGCTGCTGAAGTATCCGTCCCGAGGCTACTCCGGCTCCGCTCCAGTTAGAGAGGACAAACCGGAATGCATGTTATGCGTTTCCGCTGGGAGCCGTGTTGTCAGCATAACAGCCGTGGTACAAAGCACGGAGTTACTATCAAAATGGTCATATACATTTGCTCATACCCTTGTCACCCTGGTTGACTAACGGACAGGATTTGTTCTGACAAGAATTATTGACCAACTGGGCCAGCTTGACCTGTTCGAAAGATGGCAGCTGTGAATCGAGACGAAGAGGGAGGCCACCCCATCCCTCGCACACGCCGCCCGAGCATGATCGAAACCTACGAGCGACTCGGAGAGATTAGCCCTCTTACCGGTCCTACGCACCCCTCTCAACAGGAAACTGGCCATTTCCTGCCCGAAACAACTCCCGAAAGGCGGCAAGTATCGACAACAGATCGGTCCCTCGATAAGGATGCCGACCTTGCGGAGAAGGTTACGACTCATCATTTCGAGGAGATCGGAGACGGGAACCCACCGCCTGACGAAACCGTTCTATACCTTGCCTACGGCTCGAACTTATGCTCCGAGACCTTTCTGGGAAGGCGAGGCATCAAACCGCTTTCTCAGATCAACGTCGTCGTTCCAGACCTGTGGCTCACCTTCGATCTCCCAGGCATACCATACCTTGAGCCCTGTTTTGCAGCAACTCGACTTCGCAAACCCCCAAACCCAGAGAAAGACAATGCATCAGACGGAAAACCCATAACAGAGGAGACCTCGCGCCTCCTCCACAAGGGCCCCGACTATAACCCCAGCATGCCCCTCGTCGGCGTCGTCTACGAGGTTACTCTCACAGACTACGCCCGGATAATTGCAACGGAGGGTGGAGGACGCGGATACGAAGACAAAGTCGTCGACTGCTACCCCTTCCCGAAGGCCTACAAGCCAACGGACCCTCTCCCCGAGCGTCCAAGCACGAAGCCCTTCAAAGCCCACACGCTTCTATCCCCCGCCGTGGCTGAGGACCTAGTAGAAGCTACTACTACCCAGGACCATGCTCTTACAAGCCGGAAACAATGCGGTTTCGTCTCGCGCTTTAGCCCTCTTGTCCGCCCGAACCCATTTTACGCCCAGCCTTCGGCTCGCTATATAAACCTGATCAAAATGGGCGCCGCTGAGCATGACTTTCCCATCGCATACCGGACATATCTTGCTGGGATTCAGCCGTACCGTATAACTACCCTGCAGCAGAAGGTAGGCAAGGTGCTGTTTGCGGGGATATGGATGACGCCGGTACTTCTGGTCTTGCTCTTGCAGAGGATGTCTGCAGGCTCGGATGGACGCAGTCCCCCCTGGCTGGTTAGATTGGCGGATGCTATTTTCTTTACGATGTGGCGGTCGTATGATAATTTATTTCTGGGTATCTTTGGGGATGGGGAAAGGACTATTGGCGATAATGCTGCGTGATGATATGAATTCTCGATCTAGACAAAGTCCTTAGGCGATGACGTTATCATCACTGGTAATAATAGAAAATCGGACTGTTTCGTGAACAAAGCAGATATAACCAAATAAATACATTGAGGCATTCTATTAAGCCTTCCCATAGTGAAAGACAGAACGGCTATTGTATACCAAAGCCCATACAACATGTGTAATAGCTAACAAAGGAAATTGTGACATTGGATCTTGAAGCAACATTTTCAACGGAGAATAAATATCTAGGGTACAGATACAAGTGTCCTGAGTAACATCTAACGAAACATGCAGAGACCATCGAATAGAGTGACAGGTTGAAGGAAATGGCGACGTGGGACCAACATGACTTGTTGGACGATGGATTATATCAAGGCTCACTAGCCGCCTGTACTTTTCCTCCACGGTGTGCAATTCATACAGTCCGCTGCAACATTCAGCGCCGGGAAACGGGGGGGCTGTACACAATCTTTCTCGTCTTGATCGGGGACCACTTGTAACGCTTGACCCAGACGCTGATGGCGAAGAGACCGGTCAGGAGGGTGATAGCCTTGACACCCATCTTCTTGCGGTCGTCCATCTCAGGCTCGGCAGCCCAGTTGAGGAACTCGACGACGTCCTTGGCCATCTGGGAGGTGGTGGCGGGGGTGCCATCCTCGTACTCAACAACACCATCGAAGAGAACACGACCCATGGCAATGGCTAGATATTGTTAGAATTGAGCATAGACGAATCAATTGTCAGGTGTAATATGTAAGTGGTGACATACCGGTACCGGGGAAGTAGGGGTTGAAGTTCATGCCAGCACCGACGGTGGCACCAGCCGGGGGCTCATCGGGGTAACCAGTCAGCAGACTGAAGATGTAGTTGCAGCCACCGTGACGGCCCTTGACGATCAAGCTGAGATCCGGGGGGAGAGCACCACCGTTGGCAGCACGAGCAGCCTCCTCGTTCTTGTAGGGAGCAGGGATGTAGTCGGACAGCTTTCCGGGACGCTTCTCGATCTCGCCCTGGTCGTTGGGCTCGGTGTCGTACTCGTTCTCCTCAGCCATGGCCTTCATCTCATCGACGGTGTGCATGACACCGACGAACGAGCGCCAAGGCACACGGGTCAGGGAGTGGCAGCTGGCACAGACTTCACGGTAGACCTGGAAACCACGACGGAGGCTGGAGTGCAAAACATGAGTAAGATGGCCGGTATCGGGGAAAGATGGCGAGGGTAGTATTCGCCCGAAATTGGAAGACTCACGCCTGGTGATCGAAGGTCTTGTTCCACTTGGCGTGCTCCCAAGGGTACGCGGTAGGGTGCAATCTTGAAATCGATGTGTGTCAGTCTGGGTGTCAAACAGTCGGGACTGGGAAGGTGATGCCTCGGTCGGAGCAACGGAGCAGCCAGCTACACGTTGACCATTCCCTTGAGCATCACCCGATAATCCACTCACCCCTCCTCAGCAGGTGTCATCGCAAAAGCCTCCTGGCCATAGAGATACGCGGCGGATCCGAGAGCGACGGCGGTTGCGGCGGACGCAGTGAGTGTGAGGTGGAAGGGGGAGCTGGCGGATTCGGCACCGGCGGCGGAGGAAGACGCACGCTGGGTGGTTCGTTAGTCAAAAACCGATACAGAAGCTTTCCTGAGCCATAGGGAAGCGATTGTCCTCGTCCATTGGATCCAATGGACGGTCGATGTCGGGGAAGTTCGTACCGTGGAGGTCTTGTTCAAGGACTGGCGTGCGACGCCCCGGAAGGGCACGCTGCGCAAAACAGTACGTGCCAGCATACTGACGATGTGAAAGACCCTCCGGACAATGGGGTATTTAAGAAGGCACGATAGCCAAAGAAGGGGAGAGGGGAGGGGGAGGGGACAAGGCTGAGCGCACAGGAGAATGTGCTTTTGGAGGTGAAGTCGAGGTTGGTCGAACGGGTCAAGTTTCTCTTGGGTTTGGAATTGCCTAAACCCTCGTTATGATTGGCTGCCGCCCCGGTCCTAACTGCCTTCGGTGAAAACCGCGACTTTTCGGAACAACAATTTTCGGCGGCCACCTGATGATTGCTGACCACCAACACCATTTCCCAGTTCTCGCGATAGCACGGTGGGAAGAGTTCTACGAGAATGCGTTCCGGGTTTCAATTTCATACACATATCAACAATTCCATCGCTTTTTCACCATTCTGCCAGCTCCTCACCCACCGTTCCGTTCCTCCACGCTGACCCCGGCACACACACTCACCCATCAATTCCACCGCTCTCATTGGCCATTGGCTTGTGTTGTTCCCGAGAGGTGCTCTTCCGCCATAGTCATCATCGCCTCCATCTTAGCCTGCCATTCCGACGCTATTCCCATGCGCAGCGCCTCAATTGCTGTCCGAATATCGCATCGGGTACCGTTACTATATAGAACTAACGATAGAGCGGGCAGTCTTCGAACCGTGCGACCGCTAAGCCCCTAATCGCCGTCGTCAATACTTCAACATCTGTACCGAATGCTCATCCTACATCCAGAATTACTAACCTCGCTTTCATAAACAGCATTAGCAAGTAGCGTGGGTATAGCGTCGGGGAACGATCCATAGTGCAGCAGCACTTCGTCAAAAGTCGGGAGGATGAGGTGTTCCGCAGCCTGCTCCACATACTGCAAAGCCGTCTGGGGATCGTCCGGAGTAACTTGGACCACGTTGAATGAGACACCCTCAATGATTCCGTTTTGGCTCAACTCCTCTAGGCAGTCCTTGTAGATATTATATATAGGTCTGCTGGATAGTTGCGGTATGTATTGTTTGATGTCTACTCGATCAAGGAAGGCTTGGTCCTATACGCGAGTGCACACCGTCAGCGTCATTGCATAGCACTTGGCCATGAGTAGGAGCTTACCAGCGCCGTAATCAAATTACTGGTGCAGACAATGATAACATTCGAATGCTCCTTCAGCTTATCCAGCCCTGTGAGTACCGCATCGACTGCTCGAATGGCGTCGAAGGGCTCATTGCTACTCAGTGCCCGGTCTCTCCGAGCAACTAAGGACTCTATTTCGTCCATGAACACGCAAATGAATGTATCCTCTTCCTCCTGAAGGAGCGTCTCGATGTTCTCAAACATCCCATTCACCAGTTTGCTGCTCTCGCCGAAATACTTGCTTCCTAGAGAATATGCGTTGATCTCAAATAGCTTGCTCTGGGGATAATCCTTTCCCAGGCGTATTGCAAGCTTCTGGGCAAGACCGCGACTAAATAAGTTAGCTACCAATCACACTCTATGTAACACATCCACAAACCAAAGGCTCGTCTTCCCACTTCCTGGTGATCCCCATATGAGTATCAACCTGTTCCAATTGATGGTCCACTTATCGAGTTTTCGAGCAGAAAACGACACTACTCGAGTTGGTATAAGTCAAGAGACGCGAGGTGGGAGGGGGAACCTCACCCATCCTGCTTATAGCCGAAAGAAGCGTTGACTGGACTGGTTGATCGTAATCCAAGCTATGCAAATGATCAGTCACTTGCACCCTTGGGAGATTTAGCAGATTAGCATACGTCTCCCATAGTCCCTCCAGATCTATGCTCGGTAAGGCCAGTACTCTTGCCGTAGCGACGCTATCTCCAGCTACTGTTGAATCCTCGAGTATATGGGACTTCTGCGAGCTTTGTTGCTCTGATCGTGTACGGAGTTGGTACACTTGAACGTCCAATTGGACTTGCTGAAGCTGATATGCTCCGGACTCCAGATTCCCGCCGCTACATTCGGTGACAAGTATAAACTCTAGGGCTTGAGCATGTGGTTCGCTTAGACCTTCTATTTATTGTCAGAAGGACGTTCGGGAAGCTGTCGTCTTGGGGAATTTCTGACCGAAAGAAGAGATCATCTGTCCAATGGATAATACGATGAAATTGTTCAGAAGCCATTCTGTAACCTCATCCCTAATCTGCTGTCCAGTTAATATATGAAGCGCGAGTGTTTCAACCAGCCTACCAAATCAGTGCGAACGATGATGCCATCACCAGCACATTTCACACGTGCCTCAACGTGCAATATGGGTCGTTGGGAGTCTTCCACTGGGCTCGAAATGCAACTATTGACGCTCACATCCATTTTGCTTGTTGGTTTGGGAGGTGGGTAATTGAGAGAAGGGAGGTTGAGGAACGCAAAGTGAACATCTGTGGCCGGTCTGGGAGGTAATCTCGTACTAGAAATTGTGGCGTTTCAAAACAGGCAAGTCGTCTACATCTGCAACCTCCAATTCACCTGATCGCCTGGGTTGAGAGCCTGTTCTCGGCCTTCTGGGTTGATCAAACGCGTAGAACAATGAACATATGCAAGATAAGCCCAATACGTAATACCACTGCATTGAACCATACCAGTATGTAACTATACCTCTTCTCACAATACGTGCTGCCACATGTGTATATCCCCCCTCTGAAGTTGAAGGTTGATTGCAAGACGCCCGTCAGAGCTACCTGGGCGAAGCCGATATGACAGCAATTACATTGAAGGGAGGTGAGAACAACTGGCTCATTGAGCCGTACTAGTAGTGATTATGATAATATTAAGTCACTCCGTTGAAGACTATAGGTACTATCACTCTACGACTACTACTAGTACTACTATTTCCGGCGCGGTTATTGAAACTTAAGTTGGTAGTACATTCGAGGAAATGCAACTTCAATGACGACGGAGAGCTCAATGTCTCTGCTCTTAATTTAATATATATCGCCCCACTGGGAGATTCTGGGGAAAATTCGCGAACGGATCGACTTGACCACCCACCGGATGTTTCAGAAATTCTTGTATTCGTCAAGAAATAAACTATTTCGCAACAACTCAGACCGCCGTCAGAAGTCTGTGAAACAGGTGGTGATACTGCTTACTGAGGTGAGATCGGATTCCGGAGCAGAGCAGCGGAAAGGTAAGCAGCCGGCCGATCCAACCGTGGAATTTCTGGGGTGTTCCGCCCACAGTGACGAACTGCCCAACCAACCGACGCAATTGCTCGGCGCCGTGGATTGTTCCTTTCCTCAGATTTAGGGGCTATGATTCCACCATGCGAACCGATGTTTCATGATCCCCTATTTTTGCCAGCAATTCCGGTGCCGCTCGATTACTCGGGTTTACGTTCGACTAATTGGGGCAGCCCCGCGGAGCGAGCTAGTCGGTGGGAACGCTGGGACCCTGACCGGCTTGTCCGCGCTGAGCTTCTGGAGCCTTTAACGGACGAACTCGACGTCCCTCCCGATGCCGACTGTGAAATTACAAGATGCAGAAAGCGAGGACTGGGCCAGGTGCCGGCGCAAAGCCGCGCAAGGATGTTCTGGCTTCACTCAAGATGGCCTCGATGGAGGAAATCTCCAGGGCCATTCTTCCAGCAGGTACGTCTCAACGGTGACAGCCGAACAAGAAAGAGCGGAAGGGGAGGCGGATCGCATTCACTGCATGACATTCTAACAAAGACCAGAAATCATGTCCTCGATCCTTGATTACCTCTCCCCTGTCGAGCTCATACGGGTAGCTCGATCGTCCAAACTCCTGCGCGAGATGGCATACGATGACACACGATGGGTGCAGAAACTGAAACGGATGGGCTGTTGGGACGAGGTGGAGGCAAGAAAGCGTACGGAAGAAACGTTCGGCACTATCGCAGATGTGCGAACGGTTGAGCAACAGGAAGTTGAGGATGCGCAAGCACCGCACGACGAACCTGCACCGAATGTCTCACGCAGTTCCCGGGCCGATTTACAATCGATATCTGACGGATTCGACCAAATCAATCTAACCACTTCGGCCAATGTTGATATGTCGGATGGATCAGAGAATGATCCTGTCATCGGCGCGCTCAAACAAGTGAAGTCGGTTCGTGGAGACGCACGCCAGGAGTACGGAAAGGTACATGCAGCACTGGCACCATACTATAATGACATCGTTATGAACGGTCCTTCTCCGGATAGCTTGCTTTTCAAGAACTACACCGATCCTCAGCACCAAGCTCAGATACTGTCGCAGCTACAGTCCTTTTCCAAATGCGATTCAGACGAAGGCTGGCGTGAACGGATTGAACAATTGCAGTCTGCTGTGTCGATGTTCGAAATATCGGCTATAAAGGAATTTAGACATGGATATGAGACAGAGGATATTGATGACAGGATGCGGAAATATGCCCACGTGTTGTACACGCTGAACGGCGGAGAGGCAGCTGTCGAACTCTTCATACAGCACAACCATCTCGTTACCAGAAGATCAGATCTCGGCAAAGTTTCGGACTGCATTGACCCTTTCTCGCAGCGGGTCAAACTTGAACATACACAGGCCTTCTTCACTCGGCTAAGTGTGGCTTATAATGAGGAAGTATCGATCATCAATCGTGCCTTTCCCCCGTCTATGAAAATCTCGACCCCGTTTATTGATAAGGTTGGGCAGGATGTGCTCTATCCATTTCTGACTGCCATTTTTGATGAACTACATGGTTCAAATACAGAGTCCTACTTGACTGCCGTCTCAGGAACATTTGCTCAATGCCTTAATCTGTCGGATACATTGTTGCCAATACAGAATCTGGACGACAGCTTTGATGAATTCATGGACCATGTCATAGCAAAAGCCTATGTACCCCACATGGATTTATACCTTGCTGAGGAATTGGACCATTTCCGGAAATTGTCTGAGGCGGCTGTGGGAGACTGGGATAGACAGCTATCGGAGCAGGCAGCCTCGACAGAGTCATTTTTGATGTCAAACATCAATAGACAGGCTGATAAGCGTGACTTCTTGACCTCATTCAAGAAGGTTATTATGGCTCCCGTTAATATTCTTCCAAGCTTCTCCGGAAACAAGGCGAATGAACAAAAGGCACCATCGGAGCCCACCGCCAGCGACACCTCGTCTTTGAAAAGCCCCAATCGGTTCTCAACCATCGCGTCGCCCACGACACCCCCGATCATGGAGGCACCGACCACAGAGCTCGCAGCAAAAGCCGCGATCATGAAGTCTAAACTAGAGGGCATTCGATCTCTCTTCAGCATTGAAGTTGCTCTTAGTCTGGTCCATGCGGCAAAATCAAGCTTGGAGCGAGCCGCGCAGTTTGTGAAGATCAAAGGCGAATATGGAGCTGCTGCAAAACAGCAGTGCGAGGCGGTTTTTGTCGCCCTCGTGCGCATTCTGGGAAATCGTCACTTGATCGGTGGATTTAACAAGGCCGTTGACCACTTGTCGAATTACCGGCCGCGCGAGCAAGGGGAAAGAGACCAATCTGGCGTTGAGCCGCTGGTCACCTTTCTGGAGCTGGTGAACGTTGGTGATTTGATCCTCCAGATGATCGATGTCTTCTATGAGCAGGAACTCATCGGCACCAAACTGACGGACCGCAATGATTTTCTTGATCCAGCCGTCAAGGAAAAGAAAAAGTTCGAGCAGAGCCTGGATGAACGGGTGGCTGCTGGGCTTAACAAAGGAATTGACGTTCTCATGGAAGAAGTTGACTACATTCTAGCAACGAGGCAATTGGCGACCGACTTCAATCCTAGTGTCTCTACTGACCCCTATCGCAAAACGATGGACGTTAGTATAACCGAGGCTGCAGCGGCCGTGGTAGATGTGGTGTCGTCACATACGCAGATGCTGGTTGGGAGCACAGACAAGAGTATGCTGGACGTCTTCAACCAAGAAGTCGGGCTCCGCCTTTTTGCTGCTCTGTGCAAGCATCTGAAGCGACAGAGAATCAGCGTCGAGGGGTCATTGAAGCTCATCAGGTAGGACTCTTGTGTTTATGAATTCGAATGCGAAGCTGACTTTATCAAGTGATATGAATCACTACTTCAAATTCATCCAGACGTTCAGGAACAACGACCTTCTCCTCTATTTCAAGGCGTTCCGAGAACTGTCGCAGATCTATTTGATCGACCCCTCCGATGCCAAAGAGCTTGCCACAATCATCGCCGATGCGGACCGATTCAACGGGATCTGGCGAGTCGAGGAGGTGTACGAGTTCGCCGAGCGACGGGCGGATTGGTATCAAGTGAAACGAGACGTCGAACGAGCCATGTACGGAATTGGGTGCAACGTTATGTGAAGATCATGTCCAGCATTACGATTATACGGTGTATATAGAGCTACGAATACCCCAGGGCTTTGCCATTTTCATGGTTAGAGAATAGACAGACGATTATATGATCCAGTAGAAGATAAAAGGACTACGAGTTGATATTACTACAAATACCCGAAATCTAACGAGTTATCGAGCAACAAGCTGACATGACCAGCATGCAACAATTCTAAGCCAGCCAACCATGAAAACCTCAGTAGTATCTTCTTTCGCATTAAGTTATTACTAATAAACCAACCAGTTGCATCATTCATTACAACGACTTTACCCATCCGACGGATCGCATCTCCTAGAAACTCTAAATCTATCCGGCTAATTCCTTGACATCAATCCAGCCATAACCTTGAAAACAATGACGATAATAAGCCAAAGAGACATAAAGATCTGACTACTCCCCGGCCCAAAGGAAAGAAGCAATGTGTTTCAACCTGGAACCAAGCCATTGGCGCTACAGCCA